TCAATACATCAACGCTTCTGTATGAAGACAAAGCGACGCGTTAAAAGATCATTTCCATTGTGACTGTATGTAGGTCGAGAAAGATGCGTTTTTAATTCCTCTGCAAGAGCGCATCGGAACGACATTGTCTTCGAGTTTATACGTTCTTTTATTAGTTTTTATTGTTTATACCTTGTTTTCATATGTTTGCAATATGATCATTTCTTTAGTCAAATAAAAAATATCGGTTAGAGGACAAGTACGACAGTTTACCTTTTATGGATAATACAATTACTGCTAACTTTATTTACTCTAAATTAAAGTTATTGTAAATTTGATGTAAATTGCTAAAATTGATTGAAAAATTTATTGGAACTACATATATTACGTTATAATAAAAGTATGGTTGCTTGGAAATATGTTTTATATGTCGTTCGCAGTGGTTCATAATATCCGCTTTTCTCTTGTACTATGAACTTCCTGTACACTCAGAGATTCCACCCAAGAGCGTAATTACAGACTTGCTTTTCCCGTCAACACAGTATTTGCATTACTTTACGTTGAAATGTCAAGTCACAATAAAACTGAAACTAGGGAAAATATATATTTCTCGACTCTTTTACTCTCCGACATGATGCTTGCTCCTCGAGTTCTATTTTTAAAATGCGTTTCCATTTCTTTTTAAATATGATGTTTAAATTGTTTCGAAATTTTAATTTGTACGTATGATATCTTTTTTTAAGTATGATGACTGCTCACGTAAACGACGTTTATGTATTGAGCCCTAAAAATATATCTTCGTTAAAAATCGTATTCAGTTCCGCCGTTAACCCTGTGGTTTAGTCAGTGGTGAAATTTCTTCATGCTTCTTTTAAATTAATCGGTGTTTACCATTTTTCAGACCTATGACATGTGCTCAGCCTCTATTTATGCCGGTTTTTTGTGAAACCTTTTTTTCCCCCATGAACGGTGATCTTGACCATATTCATTTACACACATAGAACATAAAACTAAACACTCCCCATTAAATGTTCTTGCCCTAGAAAAATTTCACAAGGATTGAACATAAGTAGGTTGCATCAAAATTAGAGCATTTAAGTGTCTTCCAATGTCAATTTTAAGTCCAAAAAGAGTTTCCGGAGATATAAAATCCTTTTATTAACATTTTACAAACTTTATGAAGAACAAGGAAAAAAATTACAGTTTTACTTGTTTCCCGTGACTGTCAAATAAAACTTTTTTTAAATTCCCTTTTAATTTTTATTCTCTGTTCAACATTGCTATATTCGCTGTTTCAGTCGGTCGTTTTCTCAAACTTTTACTTATACTTATATATTATATTAAAAACGAAAAATATAAGCCTGTGTTCGAATGATAAAAAGAAGAGAAAACGTTGTATATACAGTCATGTCCTCTAACTACACTTACAATTGAAATTGTTTTTGTAATAGTTCAGTTGCGACATAAAAAGAATTCGCTTTGAAACAGCCACTTTTACATAAAAGCTGAAAGTAATGTCAGTTACGAAAGCAATTAAATTCTTCGTTATCTTTTGCAAGATGTTTTCAAATTTGTTCAAAGAGATTCCTTCCCGTATAATATTTTATCGCGTACTTCGTCGGTTGCTGTGACTTCTTCCTTTAATCAATTCCATCAAAAACTTAATCAATTTAGAGATAGTATATACAGCGACAATATGAATTTAATACAAAACACTTATTTACGATTCCTATATCAAAATATTCAAATCACCAATAGTTTAAGAAACACTGTACTCCGACCACGTCGAAGTATGAGCTATTGAAAATTACGAACGCCATTGGTCGATTTACTACAATACACGCTTATACGACAGGCTTGAGAATTCAGCAAATCCAGCGCTTCCTTTTTGCTAACGCATAAAGGATAAAACAAGAGGTTTTCTTTAAAAATCTTTTTATATTTTACGACCCATGCACAATTTTATCATATAAATAAATAAATAAATATAAATATATTAGTATATAAAAATTAATAGAATTCTTTCGAAGTAACATAATTTTGTAACACGTAAATAACAATACAGTCAGCGCTTGAAGCGCTAAACTTGTCTTAATCCATATTTCCCTCCCCCTTCAACCATTTCTGTCAGTCATTCATTCTATTTCATTCAAACTATGTTAGCTGATAGCTCGGTTCAGTCAGTTCAGTGTAAATTCAGCTCTCATATTTTTCTAAATCGTTGTGTTGTTTAAAATCATGTCTGGATTTAAAATGAATTCAACTTTTCTTAACAATATCGCAATCACAATACCTTCGTGTCTATTCCAACGATGTACACGTTCGCAATCTTTTTTAGAGAGTTATGTTTTGGCGGGATGGTCTATTAATAAATTTTATTCGTTCCGACGCCTGCAAAAATGGCGGAGATGTGTATATTTTTCTTTGTGCTGAAATAAACGAATATTTTAAGCCTCGCATCGAAATATCGGTAAGTCATTTATAATTCATTAAACTAAAATTTTAGTAATGTAAAATAAAGGTATTATATATGTGTAAGTATAGTTATCCAATAAACCCATGTTATAATAAATACTAATAGTATTTTATGGTTATTTCTTTCATTTTGAACAATCGTTCAATAGATTAAATTAACCTCGGGCTTAGGCACTTAATATCAAGCGAAGTTATTTAATATTGAGATTTAAAACGCAATTAAAGATGAGGGTAGGCTTATTTTGAGCTTAAAGCGAAAAGGATGTAATTATTATAACTATAATTTTGGATCTATAAATTGTAGCAGTTAAAATACAAATAATATACAACTTCAATTTAGTTCCGATTTACAAATAGTGGGAGAGGCTAAATAATACTTTCGCTGTTCTAAATACGTATTAACGAAATAAGTTTATAGGAGTATTAGCATTATTAATTGTCGAAAAACTTAAATTCTCGCTGTGTTGAAATCATAACATCGTGACGCCCCAAGATCCATCTCGGGCGTAACAAAAAATCGATTCCTACCCCAGTCTAGTGACACGAACTCAATCTCTTAGCTCCCCCGCCTACTGCTTTCCGAGCGGCAGGCTTTCTTTTCAATGTGCTATCATCGGTTATTTTTGCCGCTTGCCGCTAATTGGGTGCACAATCCTATGTTTTTTTAATTACCAGCCCGCGTAGTTTTCATTGTCTGCAGCGCTAGCAGGGAAATGCCTCGCGTATAATGATCTGCATCGGTTGTTTTTTTTTACACCGTTTTCAAGAACTGAATTTACATTTTCAAAACCAACGTGCTTCATCGATTAGTGAGCATGTTGTGTTATATCATACATTATTGGGAAAACTGATTTGATCAAATGAAGTATAGTTCGGCGATAAATTACATTATTACTCTGTTACTTGATTGTAATGCCTCTATTCGTTGATACATTAGTGACAATTCTTAATTAGGAGGCATGTTACACGATTATAAATATTGTTATTGTCTGAAAAAGAACGGAATCATTATTCTTTCGCAAACTGGCTGTTTTTTCGCTCGGAAAGAAAAAGAAGTCTACCGATGCGCGACTCGTCGCCGTTACGATATCAGACGTGTGGTAGATAACATCTTGTATTCTACAAGGTCGCCCGTACCGGCACTAAAGCGATGCAAGCAATTACTATATCTAATGTCACCGCAGCAATAATTAAATTTAAGCGCCGCTGTATACCGCCATGTTTATCGACGACTTCTGTGCAGCTATTGAGAATTGAGACGGTAAAATTCGAACGGGGTCATGATTGTTTGGTTACGTGTTTTGTGGCTGTTATTTATTTATGGTTATAATAACGAAAATTATTGTGTTTGCGTTCTAAACCGAATGAAAATAAATAATGTAAACGGATAATGATTTAAACACGTAACGTGTTTGAAATGAATTTTCGGCTATTATTGTGCATCTTGAAAAATTAATATATAAATCACTGAATTTTCGGCTATTATTGTGCATCTTGAAAAAAAGCATACAGGTTTCACTGCCATGTTTACATAAACCCATAAATCGCATACAGACGTTTCACATCTCATTTGGAAAATCCTTCACAGTCTTAATTCAGTTTCTTTTTTCCGGATGTATTCGTATTTTCAACGTTACGATTTTTAAAGGCTTATTGTGGCTGCTTGGTATTATTAATCTTATATTCTTCATTAATTATTAAGTGCGATGATTGTGATAAATGCTACGGGTTTCAACTATCTCGGCGAGGCCTTCTCGCAAGCAGTTGGCCAGCACATAACGTCAAGTACGCGACAGCCCGAGCGTCGTTATGAGGGATTGTTCCATACGGCAGCAGATTATGCCGGTTAGCGGATAATTAATCACCACCTCGTGCAGCCACCGTCCTCGGTGCGGTCCGGAGCCGTGCGTTATGAAATTAAGTTTACCCGCGCTAATTTCAGAACGTCCGTACTATTATTGGATTGCGACGCCCTCTGAGGTACGGCGGGGAGTTCCCGTATGATGGATCGGCAGACTCTTGTTAATAACGTTGACGTTGCGGTCAATATACGGTGTATTTACCTTGGGCAGAAATTCAATACTTACTTTATGTACGGCAGCAAATGTCCAGTTATAACACAGTACAGCGTTAAAGATTTATTTCGTTCTTTATTTGTTATATGTAAGTTGATTCGGGCAATCGGAGCTTGAGTCCCTGATAGGGCAGAGAGGTATTTCTGCTTTAGGCGGTGGAATTTGTAACACATTGAAAGTATCGAAAGTATCGAAGTGCACGACGCGCGCTGCGTTCTGTGCCTTCTTATCTACAAATCGTTCAGATGTCATAGCTTCTCTGTTTGTATGACAAGTTGTATGACTGTATTGACTTCCACATTGGTCAAATAGGTGTGCTTACTATCCTAATATGAAACGCGACTTCGTTTGTCGACAAAGCAATTGTGAATGAACATAATTCAATCTATTCCGGTAGCGAGAACGAACGCCGGCGAGAGCGCATTACCATGCAATCTATCGTCCTGATTAAAACATCCCGGAAACTGGTCACGCGAGCGCTCGCACGGGCCCCGTCGCCCCCGAAGCGCCCCCATTGAGACCCCATCGAGCCCCCATCGAGCGACCCCATTCGGGGCCCGCATTCGCGGCCGCGTCGCGTTCCCATGGACCCCGAAAACGGGGCCCACGTGCGGGACAGATGGCCGACTCTGCGGCCGGGTTTATTTTCGCCGCATACGGTGACCATGGTCTTTGACCTTTTGAGGAATTCTCCAGAAAAAATGGACCCGTCAACGCCCGTTTAAATAGGCGTTCTTAGACTTCATACGTTCGAATTTGTGTTGTCATTTTAAAGGTCCAATTACCGCCAATGAGTAATCGAATGTTATGACTGTCGTCTCACCAAAATCGTTATGTTTACAATGTGAACAAACGAATCCATACGCAGACTGTCATTTAATATATTCCAAAATCCAAAATTTTCTTTTAATCTATTAAAATTTTCCAAAGCTTCTTTGAAAATCAAACGGTACATCAATTTACAACTGTCCAAGAAACCCTGCCTTCATTTTTAAATTGTACATTTTGGTAAATAAATGAATAAAAATTGTCGGCGCTGCGGGATTCAAAAGTGCGTCTTCTCGCGCGAATATCAAGACATGTATCTAAGTTCGTTCTGTTGCTGTCTCCGTATATAAATTGTTCTCGTTTTTCGGAATATCAAGACATGTATCTAATTCTATTGCTGCCTTCGTATATAAATTGTTCTCGTTTTTCGCAATAGTTCCGCGGTGAGGTTCTCGTCGTCGGGAATGTCCCGCGCGGTGCACGAAGCGTGGCCGACCTCGCGCCTGGCATCGGGGTCGTCTCGCCGATATCTGGGGCCCCGCGGCAGATGTGAGGTCCGCATCCGGATTTATTGTGATGGAGTGGCGGGCCGTGCTTGTACCCGCGTCTTTACATCCAGTGCCCTGTTCTAGTGCGGGCCATTGTTTGCGAGGTGCCACTGTGTGTGTGCCGACTGTGTTGTTGTGTGCAGCTTTTGACGCTATAAAGAACACGCCTTGTCTATCGAGAAGATGCACCAAACAGTTGGTAGTTGGTGTGGACGCTGTTAATTTACTACTGTTGGTTGGTAGTTTTCGGTAAGCTTTGAGGGCAGAGCACGTGCAATGCTGAAGCAACGTGGTCTAATTATGACCATCATGACATCACAGTTGTCTTTAAAATGGCTACGTAATTTGGCGGGTTCAAGTCTGTATTAGTGATGTTTTATAGGGTTAATCAAATTAAGTTTGATTGTGTTGTCAGATTAGAAACTATCGCATAATTACATTTAAACTAATTTCTAGCTTTGAACTGATGATAACGGCTAACGCTGTAACAATGCCGCCTGCATGTTATGTTTGGACTTCGTACTACGTACGTCTATATATCGTTGCACAAGTTTAGATTTACGATCGTGCGCGATTGCGGTCGCGTTTTGAGATGTTTAATTTTAAATGACGAGACGTATCCCGCGAGAGTTTAATGTTTCTCCTCTTTGACCGAACAAAGAAACGGCGTGAATTATTCCGAATAACAGTTGACGCATTTTTAGGCGGAATTTGCTAGCTACTGTTGTTGAAACGGGAAAGAATATAATAACAACTCACAAAATATTATAAAGCAATAGTATTTTTGCATTTCGTTAGTTGCGAGTCGTTAAAAGATCTCTGAAGAACTGCGTCACGTGTTAATAGATTTTAATACTTTGCTATGTTTTCTTGTAAAATAAAAAAAAAAAGGAATGTGACACTCTACCGTGATAGCTCAGTGTCCGGGGGCTCTATTTTAATTCAATATTTATCACGAAAAACATCTATACTATACCTGCTTATTTTCGAAATTACGGTGGTAGGGCCACGCAGCAGCCTCGGCTGTTGCACGAAAAGGCAGGCTCGTCCGGATAAGTACCACGACCTCACAGAAAACAAGCGTAAAGTGGAAGTATAATACTTTCGCGATTCGTCTGGTGTATGAGGTGGTCGGAGCCCAATTTTCAAAAGGTTGTCAACGCATCTGCAACCCTCGGGTGTAGCAGATGTCCATGGGTGGCGGTATTCACTTAACACCAGGTGAACCGTCCGCTAGCTTGACAACTTTTCACATAAAAAAAAATTATAACAAAATATATTAATTTTTTTAAATATATGAAGTGTTCCAATCCGCAGTGGGGCTTCGTGGACTATGCCATAATACCCTCTGACCTGAGGAGGCCTTGTCCCAGCAGTGGGACACATACGGCTGTTAATTTACTTTTTTTATTACACAATTCATTGATAGGTTTAGTTCGTTCGTTTCGAGCTGCTATTGACCCCGTTGTAGCCCTAAATATGGTCAGTAGACGGGTCGTTATTAGATTCGGAGCCCCTCTGGGTGCAACGGCATCGCGTACAGACACGCATGCAGGCCGAAGGCCATCCCTTATCACCGATTGTGCCGCGGCGCACTGATAACGCCCTAGCGACAGATTGGGCGCGTCTGACGGTTTCATTCAACGATATTATATACAAATGCGAGGTAGATATGACACTAGCGCGCTTGGTGGAATTAAACAGATTAGATTGCATTTCTATAGAGTGCCATCTCTTTCCGTACCATACTGCGTTCGATGAAGCTATAATAGATAGTCAAGGACTGAAAGCATAACATCAGTTACATAAAACCGTACCATACGTTCTATATCATTTGTCACGTTCACTTATATTATGTCATATGGGAACATTTTTTTATGAGTTGAGATTGATTTGTGATTGCCTTACTTTAGTATAATAAACAAAAATTACCAATCAACTCAGGACAAGAGCCTAAAAGCGTAATGTTGAGTAATTTTAATTTCAATTTTATTACAAATAAAACATACACGGAGAAGTTATTTACAGAACACACTTAATAAGAAGAATATTCAAGTGCCGTAAGGGTAAAATATTAATGCATAAAGAATTAAAATTTAATAAAACTAACTAGCCCAACTTATCAAATCTTCGCCTATCCGCTCCGCAGTTTGACACCGCGGGCGGCCGCCCCTTCTACGCAGTTTGCTCGCCCAACTTTGACTGTTCTTTGTTTGTGTTTAATTAAAGGACCTTCTAATTAAGGGGCCAGCGGTAAGCGGAGCCGCGGGCCGGCGCTTAGCGAGTGAAGTTTGCGAACGCTGCCCACTCGCGTTTCGCACAAGACGCCCGTGTTATTAGCTCGGGTGACGTAATAGAATTCCCCGCTACGCGTCTGTTGTTTTAATTAACCGTAATTAAAGCGTCGAACGCCCCGCGACCGGTGGCTGGGATTTGGGCGAGTCGCAGGTACGATTCGAAAGTGTTGCCACGAAACTGTGGCAAGGGCCACGCGACAGTGCGCTGTTGCACGATTGGGCAGGACCTTCCCGGAAAGTACCACGACCTCACGGAAGACCGGCGTGAAGGTGAAGTGTTATAGTTCCGCGTGTCGCCTGGTCGATGAGGTAGCTGGGGCACATTTTATTATAAGGCAACGCATCTGTAACAAACACAACGGGTGTTGCAGATGTCAATGGGCGGCGGTTATCACTTAACATCAGGTGAACCGCCAGCTAGCTTTCAAACATCTCACATAAAAATGTAGTTAACGTTGTTTGACGGAAGACGGAATACACTTGTCGATGTATTATTAAGTCGTAACAGAAACACGATAAATAATGATACGGGTTGGTAACTACAATTTAAAGTTTTGAATTATTTTACATACGTGCGAACGACACGTCGAATGCTTTACCCGTCCGTAATGTGAAACTAATTAACCTTTTTTAATTACATAATCACGATTAAAGGCACGCAATGTCACTGTTCCCTTTATTGATTGAATTACATAGTTTTCATCAATGTATGTTAACAAGGGACGGAGGAGGTTTCTAAATGAATAATAATAATTCGTGTGAGTGCAAATAACCGAGCGAACTCAGGTCGGACCTTGAAACCAAACACCACGGGTAAGGGTCTATTGGAAACGCGTTGCTGACATCAGCCAGTTCTGAGACTAACGCTGATTGCGATATTTATAGTAAGCCGACACTAAGAATTTTCTAACGGTCTCACGGGCTGCTTAGTAAGCTGAACGGAGCCCGCACAGTGTGTTCCGAAGAGTTGTTTTCGTAGTTACGATTCTTTTGGCGCGTCTGGAAAAAATATGAGAGTATAATTTATACGGTTGCACATCGACAACCAATAAAAACTTTTTTTTTTATTTAATTGAACCGTAAGTATTTGTATTTCTTTCCCCAGGAAGGAGTGCCTACTGGCAAAGTAGATAAATTCTTTAGTTTTTCTCTTTTATGCAATAATCATAGATAACATTAAAGTGAAGAAATATCGAGTGGACATAATATTTTAGTGGAATATATCCTTAATGTTTTTCAGTCTGTTGTTTGTCCAAATTAAAAACTGACCTTTTCTAAGTTCTCATTGTTTTTATAGTACTCTACTAAACTAGAGAACTATTCACTGAAATGTTTATTATTTTCACAATTATATGAGGCATTCCTTAAATTCTTCCAAGTAGCTTATAGTTTATTTAGCCTGAGTAACATTAAAAATGGACGAAAAATTTTTGCCGCGCCGTGAATCCAACCCAAGTCTTCCGAATTCTCACCCAAACGTTGTCAACACTAAAGCTAAAACCCGAGTATATTGGCCATTTTTCACTGGTCCTGCACGAAGCTATTTGTTCCACAGTCGTGTTTGGGAACGAAACCGAAAATATTCTGTGCAGATAAATACTATGTGCGCAGAGGTATTCCGCGGTCAAGTTCGACAGGGGGCTTATCCCACAATCGCGGACAGCCTCGCCTTTGCAGCACTCCCACCGCTAAGCTCCCTGTGGAGGCGATCGATTTCCTTAAGTCCGGAAAAGTGGCTCCCTCACTTTTCTAGTGGACCCCGAAGTGCTTTTAAGCGACCCTCAATAATGAGGCGCCTATGTCGCGAAGACGCGTAGGTGTCTCCAGACGATTGTAATGCCGTTGAGTGTGAAATGAGAGGCTTTACTGCCGTGGAAAGTTGGGTCCTTGTAATAAGGTCTATTGGTCGATACCGTTCGGTTCAAAGTGGTATAATATAGGGGCATATCAACGTGTTTGTGAGCAAAGTACGATTGAATGTATGTTTTAAAAATAGAATATTGATTTTACTCTGCTACCTTGCGATCACAGAGTTTCTTTCGCCGGTTTTGCAGCTCAGGTCTCAAGGAATTTTGACTTTGACGCTTAACTTATCAAGCGTCAAAGTCAAAATTCCTTTATTGAAAAGACTATCACCGGTTCACTGAACTAGATCTGACCAGAGAAGAACTTATGTTTTTAGTGTAATCTTAGTGTAGTGCTTCCACATTGAATAAAGGTGTTTCAATTTGAATCGATAGTTTGTAATGCTGTTCGCGTCATTGGTCAAAATGCTCTTTATGTTTTTTGTTATGAACGTCTATGCCTACAACTACAGCTGTCTTATTTATTAGGGTGTGAAAAGGTATATTGCATATAATTAAAGTGAAACGCACGGGACGTGTATCTGCAGAATTTCTTTCAACGCGAACGGGCTCGAGAGTTTCCTTTGGGATTTTAATAGGCAATAATGCCAAGCGCATATGGGCGCATGGCGTCTCAGCTCGCGTTGCCAAATAGCGCACTTAATGGCAACGACAGCGACCCCGCTCGGCCGTTATTTTTGAATGCAAATCCGTGGTCTTAAATGTAATAAATTGGTGGAGTGTATGAGTAAATTTAAACGCTTTCATACTTAGATATAAATTCTTTATAATCGTCCACTGATATATGGTTATGTTCATTTGTTAACAGCTCTTGCCTTGTTGGGGTAATTTTTAAATTGTTTCATTGATGCCAAGAATACTCTAAGCGTGTCGATACAAAGTGACCGCTCCGAAGGTCTTCGCAATCTCTTGACTACCATCCCACTTTATAAAAGGATCTTGGATAAGTTATTTCTGCGGGTTCTCGCTTTTAATTCAATATACTCGAGTCTCGAATTCTAACCTGTATTTAGTGCTGATGAAATTGTTAATTTTTATTTTAACACACCCGATAGTGCTCGTCGGTGAAGGAAATATCGTGAGGAAATCTGCATATTTTCTTAATAATAACAAAAAAAAAACATTATGTAAAGTCCGCAAATCCATAGGGGGATGAACTTTATTATTCTCTATACAGAGATGCCTTTGCCCTGCAGTAGAACATACATAGGCCGTTACTTTAGTTTACTTTTGGTTGTAAAAGTCCACGGCTCGGTAGACGGCTAGTCATCATCATCATCAGCGTCATCATTTCAGCTTGATCTCACCGCTGAACATAGCCTGCCCCAAACACGACGCTAAGCCACCGGCATCCATCGACTTCCCGCACACTTGCACAGATTTTTATTAGAGGTTTTACGATTCAAACCCAAAATGCGCGACGCCTCGTCACCGTCGCCGTAATATCCTACCCACCCAGCAACGCGACAACAATGCGCCGGGCTCCCACCGTCTCCAGATGCACGGCCACAGCTGCCCACCAACAATGCCGCGCTCGCACAAAAGTCCCGTACCGTTTGCGCGCGCGTCTCTCCCTTCGCCGAACCAGCCCCTAGCAACAATGGCGTTCGCAACGGTATTTCGGGAAGCGATCCCGTCGGCCCCCGCTCACAATGGCCACGCTCGTGGGGTAAGCGATGCGAGCGCCGCGCTTAATTGAGTAGTTTTGTCGTGCCTTAGTATGCTATTATTACGCGGACGCGCCTGTGAACATCTGCGGTGCACGTTTTCGGCTATGAGTCGCTCCTTGTGCTTGTCTCGTCCAACGCAAACCGGCTGGCGGTACGGTAAGTGGCGCTTTAGCCGGCGAGTGGGTTATTCGGTAAAAGCCTGTCCGACTCTAGCCTACATATTGTGCTTTTACCGCAGATGCGGTTTGATGACTCCGTGGCGTAGGTGCCGAGGTATTGGCTTCGGTGTAGTAGAGGGTCGTGGGTTCGATTCCCACACGGGACAACTATTCGTGTGACCCACAGATAATTGTTCCGAATCTGGGTGTTTGTCCGCTTGAAATTTATGTTTGTAAAACGTCCTTAAAACAGAGGATTATGTTATCCTAAAGTAAGGGCAATGTTTTTTTAAAACAAAAATAAAAAAAAATATGCAGTGATTTGGTAAAAGCTTACGACCGTACCCCAAAGAATCTCTCATTGAAGACGGTAGATTCATCTTGTATGTTAATGTAAACGTTTTTAATATTTTCCTCAATATGTGTTACGGTGTGCGGATTATTCTAATATAGAAAATTCTCGTGTCACGGGGTTCGAACTTGAACTCCTCCGAAACGGCTCGACCGATTTTTGTGATCCTTAGCGTGATTGTCGCCCAGGGTGGAGAATCGGCCAACATCTATTTTTCATCCCCCTAAATGTTAAGGGTAGTCCACCCCTAATTTTTTTTTTATTTTTTAAGCAAAATTTTTTGTTTTTATTTTTTTATGACACAGCATACAAAAATACATACAACCCTAAATTTTCACCCCTCTACGCAGACGTAGTCGCGGGCAGCAGCTAGTTTTTCTATATTTTTGTTCTTATTATGGTTGGTTATACTTGCCCGAAGAACTTGGCCGGACTGACTTCTTATGCTTGTACTTTTATTTATTTATCTCGTTTGCGATATTGACCCAAGGTTACAAGACACGTACCTTACCGACATGTTAGCAGTTTGTAATATTTTTATCTCCGTTGTTTAGTTAATTAAAATTGAGCTATTTCTGTACACTTTATTAGGATTTAGGATTAATTATATAGGATTTCTAAAATTATATTCCACAGAAAATCGGTCTTCCGTTAGGCGTGATGTTACGTGAACACATGAATGGGTTTGCACTACAACAGATATTCCTATTGAGCGTCCAAAAAGATCTGTTTTAAAAGACCATTTTTGTATTGACGAAAAACAAAACAGACTTCAAATATCTCGCTCTGTATTCATTTTATAATTAATTTTCAAGTGTTCCCCTAGTATCTCCGTGGCCCAAGATCCAATGCCGATTAAATTAATATGGGACCACATGCGAAGCACCAACTTTTAAATAAAAAAATAATCACTAAATTCGGTTCACGCGGTCGAAAGTTCTGACACATAACATAAAAAAATACAGTCGAATTGAGAACCTCATCCTTTTTTGAAGTCGGTAAAGTCGGTAAAGTTTTGAAGTCGGAAAAGATGTAAAATAGGTAAAGAATGATGTCTTATGGAACCCATCTATAATCTGACTCACTGTGAATTACCCAAATGAGGAGGTTCTAAAATTTGGTGACTTGCGCAGTTTAAAGACCTAGGTTTAGGTCAACAGTCCGTATGGTGGTTTGCGCAGTTTTGGGTCAACAGTATGCCGTTGCATTTGTCCCTTTGACGGAGGCGGGGATCGCTTGGGAATTCTATGAATGTCCGATTCACGGCCCCATTCCTCGTAATTGGTGCACTAACGCTCGCATAGACTCGCCGAACGTTGATGGATGGTTAATTGATTGGTCGTCTTTGACGCACGCTGTGTTCTCATCGGGCTGTTTGTTTGTTTGTAAACCCAGCATTGCCCTCCGCCGTGAACTTTAGGATACATCAATTAATTGCCATCACTTCGTTAGCCTTTACTTCAGTACAAACTTCCACAAACATTACTGTCATCCGTCTTTCTAAAAATTCCTTATGTATACAATTTATTATCGTTTCTTACCTACTGTGGTAGAGTCACGCAGCAGGCTCTACTGTTGCACGAATGGGCAGACTTCTCCGGGGAAGTACCACGGCCTCACAGTGCTCCGATGTGAAGTGGAGATGTTATACCTAGGCGTTTCGTCTGGTGAGTTAGACAATTGGGCCCATTTTCTTAATGACTAGCAACGCTTCTGCAATTCGGTAGGTCTTCCAGAGAACCATTGTTTTAACTATTCATATAACATTATATATTACTATAGAAAACTCTAATAATTATATAAGCAAACATATATCGCAAGGTCTCTTAGTTCACTAAAATTCACCTCATGGATTTTGAGAGTTTCCTTTGAAAATTCTCGAGTTTTATTGTACTGTTGTACTCCATTTATCCAACAACTTGCTTAACGTCCAATTATTTTCTAATTCTGTTACCAACCGAGTTTACAAGTCAAGAATTGATCTTGTCTAAAAGTGAATCCCCGTAGTGTATGATTTTGATGCGTTTGATTTTATTTATTTTATCTTTATTTTATTGAGCAACGAAATCCACAGCCCTTAGTTTACTATACATGTAAATCACATATGCTTAACTTAACAGCGATAAAAGATTTACATTTTATAGATGTGTTTCATTTCAATGTTAGTTTTATAGTAAATTGATTAACGTGAAAAACATTTTTCACACATATAGTAACCGACAGCGGATGTTGCTTCATAAAAATCATTGTGGCCATATATTTCAAACTTACATGCTAAAGTTATGTACATCAATAACGCTCGATAAAAAACCTTTTTGTGACCTCGGGACTTAGTAGATGGTCGTGGGTAGCAATGCTCGATATTATCGACTTTTGAAAAGGTTTAATGCTACCTATAATAAATCTAAAAATAACTCCGAACATACAAGGAAAACGATACGCACCCAGTTTTCCTGCTTAACTCGCGCTCACTTAACAATTAATACATTTTTTTGAATCTATAAACGTATAGAATTTTGTAATAGTTAAGCACGTGCGTTCGGTCGCTTATAATAAATAAATATTTTAGGACCCATTTTTACACAACGTTATCTAGTCCCAAATTAAGCAACGCTTGTACTATGGGTACTAGACAACTAATAAACAAACAAACTTAAACACACAGACGCTGCAAAAATAATATGTTCATCACACTTAAAACTATATGTTCATCACACATTATTGTTCCAGTGCTGTGGATTGAACCCACACCCTTTGGCCCAAGGGCCAGTCCCTCACTACTCCCCACGCCATTCGGTTCGTCGTTATCTGTTAGCTTTGTACTGTTTCCTGTCCGCTAATGCTTGCACAGTAGGTCTTATATGTGAAAAAAGTTATCGAAAGAGAAGTTAAATCTACTCAGAACCGATAGGCGATAAACTTTTCATACAGTTTTTCTACAATATTTAATGTTTCATCTTAAGTCCAGAGATTAGCACTATAAGAGTTTAAATTTCTAGTATGACGTTAGAGGACTCTAGTGGGTTAAATTAGATTATTCTTAGATCTAGTGACAACCGTAACACGCAGTTGTAATTGATCGTATAGACAGCCTATATACCTTTAAATTAATAGACTCCATTCGTAACTGACCGTCTGTTATCGAAAACATTAATTCGTTGTTACGTCAAAAAGACACACACAAAACAAAGTTTTAATTTTTTATGTATTTGTGAAATGGCAGTATACTAACCATCCTTCTGCGCCGTAAAGGTAGTCGGGTGAAGCATACTTTAGTAGGTCGCCAGTAACTTGCCAGTTTTGTGGCCGCCCTTGGGAGAAGGAATATGGATAACTTATGTACTTGGGACCTTACAAGTTGGTAATTCCGGATAGAACCGGATCCTCTTTCCTTAAGGAAATACAGGAAAACTAGATAGCAGTCGCCAATAATAGCACACATCAATTTTGCCCCGGACAGTAAGCTTAGAAAATTGGTAGTTTGTAAAAGAAAAAACATGATTTGGTAAGAAATATTTCTTGTACCGTTATTATTTTCAATAATCTGATCATAGGCTGTTAAGAAGTTAACATTTTCTAAGTCTGATATCGATGCGACTAATTGTCCGCACTTCATATGATTAATCTTCGATATTTTAACTCGATGTCAATATCGCAATGGCTACAGCATAATCCCACATGTACATCACCCCAACGATCCAATGACTTGTCGGAAAAAAAATCATACGGGACGTAGAGCAAAACAAACAAAACGCGTTCCGATAATCGAAGCGTTCGAAATTCAAAAGCGTCCCTCGCCGCAGCGTCAGCGCGTTCCATTTCCAAATTATTTCAAACATGGCGGGCGTAACGAGCCCAATGGACAAACAACAATTGACCCCAATTCGCCGGGCTAATGGCGTGCCGGGTCCCCGCGGGGAAGCCGTTGGCCGGCATTGATATTTTTGCGGAGATGGCGCCGCGCCGTAACACGATCCCGATGGTGATGCTAGAAGCTTCTGTGCGACAGCTTTTTATCAATTTCGCCTATGCCAGTAACGTTTTGCAACTCAACTGCCGCGTGTTGGATTCGTAGAATGCTAGTAAGCTATAGGCTCGTGTTCCACTGTCTTTGCAGAGTGGGCAAAGCTACCTAACAGCGATACTGCGATGTAGCTACCGATCGCCTCAACTTATCTCATTTGTGTTTATAACCTTTATGTAATGCTTATTCTATTAATGCAAAACGACGATCGAACATATTTTGTGTGTATCAAAATAATTGCGATATTCCCGTGAGTCACGATGTCAGTGGAAATGTTTCACTGACAATTATGCGAAGGCAATCTCAGAGCATTCATAACTTTAATGTTCAAATGTAAATCTAATCTTCTATACATGTATAGTGTATAGTTGTACGTGAAGTCTAGTCTGTGAGCGTATTGATCCTGTGTGTTATCAAAATCCCTCAATTGATAAACCAAGTTAACATTTGTATTGAATAAATGTTTTCTTTATAACCAATAGTTTGGGTCAGTTATTTTGAGAGTTTACCAACTAACTCCAATCAAGAATTCGTCGTCTATATTCCGAGAAAGTACTCGTTTTCCCCCTTGTGATATTTTATATGTTTACAATTCATATTGCTATGTCAACTGTAGAAGACGTGATTGATTTCTACTTGATTGTGTAACCCCTTTGTTGTTCTAAATTATTGGTTCCATAATGAAATGGCGACTATTTATATGGTTATTTTTCTTCGATGTTTTCTTTACCTGTTAATGTTTTCTCTTTACAATTTTTTCCGAATCATAAATCAATCAAATTGCACTGAGACGTGAACGAAAAATGTATTGCCATAGTAATAATTTTTTTAAACGTATGGCTTACTTAAGTATCCGTGACCGAAGTTGACGACGGAAAAAAAAATCAGTATTTCAAATATCGAACGGGAAGTGACGGCGATAAATGCGATAGGAAGCGCTGACCCTGCGCGTCGCGATAACAGAGGCGCGGGGCATTCTAAATTCAAATTGCAACACCACCATCTCGGTAAATATTGCGACCTGAGGGCTTATTTTAGATAGGGATTATTTTTAATTTTGAAATTTTTAACTAGTCATATAAATTTTCTGATTTTTCCTAAAGAACCACGTTTTTAATATATAATTATATATAAAATTCTATATACAAATAAGGATTGTTTGAGTATTTACTTAGCATGAGTTTATTTTACCGGTCTTACATTATTGACATCGTTTGGTCACCTTAAGTGTGTTTTATATTTCTCTCGGTCGCTTCTCGTCTGTTGTTTTTTTATGTAGTACTGCTATTGTGTCTTGTGAATAGAATAGAAAAAATGGGGTATGCTCTATTTTATATTGGCTTTTTATTTATTTATTTTTCGGTGATTCAATTTTGTGTAAATTTCCATGGAGGCGTTAACCTGTTAGTTAGGTTGTACAGGTATCTGATGTGTAACAGTTTAAAGGTCTTTTTTAATTCCATGTAACACATTGAATATTAACTGATACACATGGGTACTTTCATGTAAGTTTATATTTATTCGTTATCAAGAATTGAGCGCTCATGTCTGTGTTGCACGTAAGATAATATCATCGCGGAATAATTGTGTCGAACGATTCGAAATTTGAAATTCAATAATTTACTCAACAGGCAACCGCTCCCGAGCCGGGCCGTATCTGCTTTGTTATCTTTGCCCTATTTAAATTCGTGGCATGGAGGATATTGAAAGATTGACGGGGCGTATTGAGAAATCGTATCACAATGTTAAAGCGACAATAGCGCCTCTGTTTATCGGCGACGGAATCGATGCGCGTTATGCGCATTTGAAAGTCAAAATTTTCGAATTGTATACCGGGTGCCTCTGCATCGCGTATCTGGTGTCGTAAGGTCGAATACATATCGTATACGAGTGCGTCGTTCTGGATGCTTCGGGGGGAGGGGAACAATTCTGTCCCACTTTGTGTTAGTGCGCGCGTCATTTGAATTTCGAATAATACGACGACGCGCGTTCGTTCGTTCGAATTACGAACGGTGCTGTGTTTATGTTTAATTTAACAGTTTCTGCGATCGGATGTTTATCGTGTGTCGCGACTGTTTTTTTTTGTTACGCATTACGAAACCGGCCAGTGTTTGTTTCTCGTTATCTTCGAATGCTACTGCGCGTTAAATTCTAATGGACTGCTCCAAAAATTGTAACACTAATTTGCGTTTAAAACGAGTTTTGGGGTATATGCAGAACATTTCCTATAACGCTCGCAAATCGGATCTCTCTCGCATTTGTCAATTCTATACTTATTTAAGATGATAAATGAGCATTTACATACTCAAAAAATAGCTGCGCTAACCTGATAAATACTAGAGGCTACAAGATTTTCCACAATAATATGAACTAAGCATACACAATTTCAGACCCTCCGTAGCGAGTGCATCGACCCCAACTTGTAATTTAGAATTTACTTTTCAATTTTATACATCTCCCATCCCTTAGATTTCAATTTGCCACTCGGAACCCTAACGCGTGTATGTAGATTGTAGGCCCACCATTCGTTTAGGATTTTGCGGACATGTTGCAGTGCAACGCGATTAGCAGGTGTAAATTAATAATTTGATGTTAAAATTTAACTGGCGTGAATTTACAAAGGATCATTTATGTTAATGCTTTAAATCAACCATGTTGTTCTCATTCGTCCTGTGAATGAAATTAAGTTTACCCCTTATAATAGTTTAGCATTATAATAGTATATATTTCAATATAAAAAATGTAGAAACATGTTATGAGAGTTAGAGAAATCTCTAATTCGAATTTAACGCTCACAGCATCGCAATTCTAAGATTCGCTCCTCCGCTCCGTCCCGTGCGTTCAAAAAATTAACATGGCGGCCCCACATGCAATCATTAGTTCCAACATGGCGGCTCCCTCGGCGCGCTTGCCGACCCTACGCATGCGTCACGCGCGAGGCGGGAACGGGCGCGATTGGCCGCGTCCTGTCGCTAATTGAGCGCCGCGGACGTCCGTCGCGCTCGTGTCGTGCGGGCTGTGTTTCATTTTCGAATTCGAATTCGATTCGAATCGTCGCCGTTGCGCGCTTCGATTTGCGCGCGCGTGAACGTTTCTATCGTTGATACTTTTAATTTTTTTTAAACTGTGATAGCCGGTGGACGGATATCGGAACGCCCGTTCTTTTTTTTTTTTGAATTTTAATATTATGCCAGTGATATATCCGTGAGATTTACATTCCACCGAGAAGCAATTTTAGGAGAGAACGAAGCTTTTGATGGTATGTATACGACAATGATCTCATAATTTAGCACTTCATAATATGAGTAATAGAAATTTATTTATCAAAGTGTGCTTTCAAAGAAAAATTATGTTTTATCTGCTTTTAATTGACGAGAGCGGACTCAATTGGCAGATCTCGCTTTATATAGCAGGACTTCGTGCTCTTTTTGCCATTGCTTATTTGCCCCTTTTAGTTTAACCCGCATGGTGGTTGAGATGGAATGTATGCCGGATTTCTAAAGGGATTGCCGAGCATTGAAAAACCTTTAAATGGGAATGAATGTCTCGTTAGTCTTAAAACTAATATGTCCGTAGACTTAACAGTTATGGGATAAAATTTTCGTTCCACGTATTAATTTCCTTTTCTATGTATATTGTTTAATTTTCAAACAGTAGTATACTTAAAAATATATATTACGTTATGTACAAACTACGAAAAAAAAAGGTGCATGAAGCACCTAATTCCATTTACAACGCTACGATGCCAAAAAATTACCGCATGGACGTAATTTGATTGTCCTTTCCTTACGTTTTCTGTCACAAGTCGTGAGATCTGTTCCCATACCCAGCCCAGATAGATAGGCTAGTCTTTTAAAACTCTAGAAGGCCTTTAATGTTTCGTACCGTCGCCGTGTCGCCATACGTCAAGATGATTTCACGCGTATGAAATTTTAAAGACATTTGTGGGTCACAATACCGTGTCTAACTATGATGCCTACATACAAAAAATTTAAAGTTCTAAGTTTTAGGCAGAGATGTTTCTAAAAACGGATCCCAATATAAGGCTCTTGGGATTCGAACCCTGTGCTTACGTTGTCCGTATCGACGCTTTGCCACCGGGCCGCCGCGCTACACCAGACTGGAAGATTGAGCAGCGCATAGTGGCTGTGTGCGGCGGGGACGCGACATCCCTGATATAGGGATATCAGGGATGTCGCATTCAATAAAACTGCAAGCCGCGGCGCTCTCGTCTAAATGAATTCGTCTAGCTTCCGAGCGAACGTCACTCGAGATCGCTCCGACGCTACCTGTTCGTGGGGGCCCGACGGATCTCCGGTTGCGGGTTGGGGGGGAGGCGAGGTTGTGTTTCGGTAATGGCGGGTTGGAGGGGGCGGGGGTGTAAGAGCCCCGGCGGGAGGGGGGCTCCTGTTTTAGATATTATATTTTTGTTCTGTCGCGCGCCACGCGAATTTTAGGGTTGTCGCTCGTCTAGTTTTCCGGTATTGAGAGATCGTTTCGCGGCGACTGCTTTAGGGTTGTCGATCTTGACGATTTCACTCGAATGTAATTGGAGCTTCGTCGCTCAGTGATAACACCGAGTCGCGATACTTTCCTCCATTACTATATCAATATAAAAAGCTTATATTTTTTGAACTATTCATGTTTGAGGAAAGATCAGGGAGCTGTTTGAAAGTAGACAAACAGTGAAAAAGAGATAAAAAATTGCGTACAACCAATTGTTACTTGAGATAACATCTTTGCCCTTTGGCGGGCGATACTGATATAACTTGGTATAGTTAATATCGACCGTATTTTTTGGTTCAATTATAAGCGGTCGTATACATGTGTGTATAAATATTTCTTAATATATTCCGCGCATTAAATTGGTAAACGCAAGAGCCCCATCCCCGCAATTATAAGGGATGCCTTCGGGTGCCTTCATAATTGTTCCGATCCCGACAAGGATCTTAAACCGGGAGTCGAGAGCGCTTAGCCTCAAGTAATGGGATAAAACTGTGAGCCTGTGTCTTTCTCCATAAAACTGTCGGTTGAAATTTGCATCGTTTTAAACTACATAACATGAAACGATGGCGTCCGCAACGAATGCCATTAATTCGATTCCAATTAAAGAAAATGATAACGAACAGTTTTGCTGTACATAAACAGAGGTTTTCAGCGCTGTTATTTAAATACATACAGAAGTGCACTCGAGAAAAAGAATATAATATGCACTTTTTGATCCGTTGAACCGACGCTCAGGCTGCGCGCCACTGTGACAGCCTCAATGAGGGGTGGCCACTCGACTCCATTCCGAAACATTTCCACCTCGGCCTCGGCGAATTCGAATTTCGAATGCGCCGCGCTTCCATTTTTGAAATTAGAGTTTTTAATTAAAGGCCGCGTTCCCGCGATATCATCGCGCTTTGTCGTCGCGGGGCGGGCGCCGCTTGTTTTTTTTTTTTTCTCTCTCTCAGCGGGGGCAAAGGTAAAGACCTGTAATTATGCGGTATATCATTTTTTCTTCCACTCGGCCAGATTCAAAAGGAGGCGAATCCGAAAATTGTTTTCGCTTTTGTCGTGTTTACGCTTGGCGGGGACATCCGTTTTGTCCTCTTGGGGGTGGGTTATGTCTGGAAATGGGTTTTTTTTTGAGGATAAGAAGAGACCTCGCCTGAAATGATATGTCTCACTATACTACTAATCTTTTTATGACTAAGTAATGTCTGATAGAAATATCGGAATCGCTGCTCTGTAATCGGAGAACTATAAAAGGACAACAATGTGTCATCTTCGTATTCAAGTACAACTCATACGATGTATTTCCTTAAAAGGTATTGATTACTAATAGTTGAATATATCAACTTAACCGAAAGGGACTTTATTGTGGTTCTTTTGTCCTGGGATTTTTAGTATAAAACAATGTTTTCTCTCTTATAGTACTGTCGTATACCGTATTTATTTAATTAACCCTTTTTTAACGATTTACGACCAGACGTTATCGCACACGTTAAAAGGCTGCCTTAAAATTTATTTTTCTGTCGAAGCACTCGGTCGCTTTCCGATATGACCGATGATGTGAAGATAAACAATAGAAAAAAAACTATACTGTATAAAAAAACTATACTTTATAATTTGTTTATTAATAGACCCTACTCCAAGGGGCCTCTAGTACTATTAACTATTTAAAAGCCAACATCTTATTAAATAGTTAATAGTACTTGAGTCAAGCAGTCGATAAATCACTGGTGTACATTTCACTGGGCGGCGATGGTCAAATCCCATTCATTTATTTAATATCTTTTACACAAATCTTGTGTATGGGCGGACTTAATGCAATACTCCCATAAAAGTCTAAAGACTGCGTTTCGAATGAAATGAAGGCTGCTTAGTCTAAAGATTGTTTTCGAACGCTTTAGTTTCCCCTTCAGGTTATATGCGAATACGATAGGCGAACACTGCTCTGTTTTCCGACGCGGACACGATTACAGTCGAACCAAGAGCTCTGCGGGAAGGGCTAGTGTTTTGTGTGTGTGGGTCGGGAGCCCAGTGGACAAGCGGGCGGCCCGGTTCCAATTTGGCAATCCAAATAAGTGCCCACGGCGGGGTCGACCTTTTTCGGGAGGCTGTTTGCATATCGAATTGAATGTTCTCGAAGTGTTGCGCGGCGGGCGCCCTTCGGCGGGCGCGAGGGCTAATCTCGGCTGCAAACTACCCGGCCCCTGAGGTCCGTCGTATCACGAGAGATGGTATAGATCCTCCACCGGGAGAAGTTTTTTTTTTTATGGAAACAAGGGGACGAACGTGCGGCAGCGTCACCTGATGGTAAATGATCACCGCCACCCGGGAACATCCGCATCATTAACATTAAACATATACGATTCAGGTCCAGAATAAAATTATATAACATACTAGCTGACCCAGCAAACTTTGTTTTGCCATATAAATTATTTCTAGGGAATTAATACATAGAAAAAGAATTTTCGGAATGCACCCATAAAATGTTTGACAGGTAGGAGCATTTTGTCTGGGAAAATAAAATTGTCGCTTTTTAGATTTCCCATGCAATTTTTCCGTAATTTCTCATCGTTTAAACCTTCCCTGGACTGCCACAAATGTTTCAAAACCAAAATTAGCCAAATCGGTCCAGCCGTTCTCGAGTTTTAACAAGACTAACTAACAACAATCTATTTTTATATATAAGATTTTTTATGTGTGGTGGCATGGTTGCTAAGCTATTAGCCTCGTCGCCGGCGGTCGTGGGTTCGATTCCCACACGGGACAAGTATTTGTGTGACCCTGAGACAAATGTTCCGGATCTGGGCGTTTGTTTCCAAGGAGGTTAGACGTCGGGCGGGCGGCCGGTCGTAAAAAAACCTAGCCAAAACCACTTACAAAATTATTCACATGTGCCGACCCCACCTAGGTGGGATAAGGCAGGAGGATGATGATGAGAGCTCCATCTTCTCTCGTATTATTTTAAAATTATTATTATCACTATCAACGATACGTTTCAACAGTGTAGGTTATGGTATACAAAGACGAGTTTATTGAACACAGTATCAAATCAATACGTCGTTTGCTCCAAGCATACGGGCGGTAATAGACTCGAAATTTATCGATTCGGCGATAACACTGTGTACTGTATTATTCAGGATGTGACTTTACTATGACTGATTTTTTGCTTCCCAACCGTACACTATTAAAGCTTCAGAAATTTAGGGGTTTATAGCTTGTACAGAATATTAGTTAGCCGTGTACCGGTGATGGCGAGACCGAAACTCCGTAGCGAATAACTATAAGAGACAGACAGAACTATAAAAACACGCCACCGTCTGCATCAATCTTAGCTTCGAATCTGTATTCAAAAGGGTTTTTCTTTTGTCCTCTAACAGATGAGCCGAGCACACGTGCAGCGAACTCCGGGATCTTTGTGATACTCCGGGTGAGACGCTGCGTGTCTGTTCCCGGGCGGGTGGCGACCGGTGAGTGATTTTGTTTCCTAAACGACACCCCCTAAATGCCAGTTTTGTCTAGTATTGAAAGGTTTTTTTTTTCTTCAAATCTGCTCTGGTTACCTGGATCCATTGTGCCGTGTTATATGCCAGTAGGTTAAAACGTTTTTCGAGTCGTGTTTTTGGTTAGATAACTCAAGATTGTAGGAGCACACAAGTACTTGATAGCTTCATTTGTTAGTGTTAGTATTGTTTGTCTCAAGTCAACATACACTCGATAACGGCTCTTTTCAGTCAGCCCTTATCTCTCTTTTTAGTCCTTTACCATGAAAAAAAAAAACAAAATTTCGTTCCATTTGAACGTGAACGTTTAAAGGTGTTCGAAATTCGAAATTAGAAAATCACACGGTCCTCGACGATTCTATGGCGAGAAGTTGACCAGTTCCACAAGTCCAATCGACTCTTGTCTCCGCCGTTCCCGTGGAAAGCGAATCGAGGCCGGCGAACTGTCCCGGGCGTGTGAGGTCATCAGTCCGTGCGCCCCCCCTCAGGTTCGCACACGAGCGAGGGCGCGGTCCGGTCCGCGGATTTATGGCGAATGGAAGCGTCATCGCGGACGGTTTTTTTAAGTGCGGAGGTGGCAAGCGAGTTCACCTGGTATTGAGTGATAAGTAGGGTTGCAGATGCGTTACCACCTTATAATGCGGGCCGCCTCGCTCACCAGACGAAGCGCAGAAGTATGACACTTCCACTCACGCCAGTCTCCTATGAGGTGGTGGCACATTCGTGCAACAGCCGAAGCTGTTGCGTGGCCCGACGTCAGTTAACATGTCCTGAGAAAAGGGTATATTTTTATAACGCTCACGATAGGTGATGTGGTTGTTAGTGACGCAATATCTCGTTAGAAGAGTGTTGTTCTGTTGTCGAAGTCACGAGCGTGAAGGTAGACTGATGAGACTTACATTCGTCATTTTTAGATCATACTTCTTCGCATTAAATGACGCCAAGATTTGCAAAAAAATGAAATTAAAACATTCGACAGCACGTTGAGATGTTCGCGCAGTGAGGATGCCGACCGCTTAGATTAGTGGTTGGAGCGTCTGAAAGCGTGTTCGGGTTCGGGAAGGTTCAGGTTCGAATCCTGGCTGTGGCGAAAAATTTTTCGACAATTTTATCTACCGCTTTTTAAGATTATTTTCACTTTAAAATTCAATATAAAGATTGAAAAGAAATGTTTGATAGCACTGCCTTTATGATAAAGTTGTATCAACTTTCAATTCAAAGATTATTGTAGCAATGTTTTTACGGTGTTCAATCTTGCATGAAAGCGATAGAATTGTGATTTAAAAAATAATAAGGAACATTAAAGCTCTTTTTAACCATCCTGATGGTGCCCGCGAATTTTTTAAGAGTACTTTTTCATCAAGGATCGGAAACGTCCATATCCAGTAAGCGTCAATTTTTGTAAAAAATAAAAGAGACTGACCATAATAAAAGAGGGACATACACAGGAAATATCTGTTTTGTCGCCCAATAAACCCACTAAATTGGATGTTCGTAGCGGTCACCCCAATAGCATTTTATGGCGTAATTATATGAAGGTCGGCTCGGCGATTTCGGTCGCGTGTCATTTGTTTCCCTTTTTTTTTTTAAGCTCGCATTAGTTTGACCACGTGCCACGCGCCTGTTGCAAGTTACATTGAATGTTTAGTCCTTTTTTTAATGGCTGTTTTAACTGTTCGTAGGTAGAAGCTTAAAGATATCGGTCACATTTTATAACAGAACTGTAATCACTAATTTGTGTGTTCAATCAAGTGTGGTAAATTATTTTTAATGTTCTGGAATTTGAAAAAAAAGCATATATTGGAACGAAGTTCCTTATCTTATGAACACGTTATGAACTTGGCAGATTAGGGGCCAGATGAAAAAGATGTAAGAATATTCCTTCACGACGGTTATACTTAGCTTGTGTGAGGATCTTCGCTCTTGTTTATTATTTGTGATCTGGTATTAAATTAAAGTATGTATGTATACTGACTAACTGTTTGAAAGGAATGCTACTACAAAGTAGGTCTGGGAGACCTTTCCATTTAATCCCGTCTTTGAAGAGTCTTTTAGTACCTACGTACGTTTGGGAAAGGGTCAGATGAACTTTCGGCGACCCTTAAACTGTCCCGACTCGACCGCAAACGCAAGGTCAAACCTGGGTAGGCTGTTAGAGAATTGTGAAATTTTGAGTCATAATTGCGACATTAAATTAGGCCTTGTTTCGAACACTAACAAATAGATCGACTATGAGCCGCGACCAATCGTCTCTCTTTACGTTACGGTATACTTTTGTTATAACAACAACGACAAAACGACGTGCAAGTGTAATAGGAAAAATTTTAACTTTTGCTAATTTCTATTAATCAAATCTAAAAAGATGAGCTTTGCAAAGCCGTCTCTGTTACCGATTTTTAATCGGCGGCGTCCTAGGAGAAGTGGCATCTCGTCGCGTGGGAACCGGACTATCCTTCGGTCCACGATCCTGAGCCACCTGCATCTAACGACCTCCCGCGCATTTGCACAGGCCGTTGTAGAACGCCAACGTAATTTATAATACTCGATGTAGCCCTCGCTTTTAATTTCACTCTAATTAAAAGAAAACACAGTTAAAATCTCAAGTAATCTTGTAATAATAATTATTGTGAGCGTTGCGGCTCTCATTTTTGACGCATGACTATATATACTACGCCACGGTATTTTGGATATAATATTTTTACTTACCTTGCTTTTTTTATGTGAAGGGACAGATATGCACGCATAGAACGATCACTGGGGACGCCGCATTCCTGAAATAGAAAGCTCTTTGAAGTTTACTATACGAACGGACACACTCTTATGACGCGAGTGTCGAAGCAAGCACTCTGCGTTGGCGTCACCAATGCTGTGACGAAGGGCGTAACCGTCACTCCAGAACGGTCTATTCCGCTAGCGCGTCATACAGTTCCGTTCAAAGGAAATTTCCACGAGATGAGGATATGTTGCATGCGGAAGAATTCTGTGTTTGGCCTAATGTCTGTATCATGCCTAGGCAGCGGTAGTCATTTGTTTTGTTGAAAAAGAATGCGCGTGTAACGCGTGACAGAAGTGAAACTTCTCAAAATATTGAGCAAAAGAAAACCTTAAAAAAGGGAAACGCGGATAGTAAAAGTAATATACAGTAAACAATATACTCTTTCGTGTGACCACATGTGCCTAAACGTGGCGCTTCCTAGAAATTTCATCCTCAATTATCGTCCAATTATCTAAGCGCCGCCCAAGATGTATTACAATTAAGAATTAAAAGTGAAAACAAACTTTCAGTAACATACTATGAAGTATCCAGCTCTCTTCCTCCTTTTTTCTTAGTTAAGAAAAGTATTTTCTTCTCTTTCGTGTTACCACATGTGCCTAAACGTGGAGCCTCCTACAAATTTCATCCTGAATTACCGTCCAATTATCGAATCACCGCCCAAGATGTGGTTCATTTAAAAGTGAAAACGAAATTTCCCCTAATTTCACGATGCAACGCTACCAGGCGTCCAGCGCGCCCCGTGACACGTTGATGGATGGACCAGACTAATGAGTTGGTAATTCGGTTCAATTAGTCGAAATTTTGGCAAGCGCCGCGCCGCTACTCCTCGAGGCGAGAGCGTATGTGAGCGCCGCGCCGGTGGAAAAGCTTTGACGTATTACCAACATTTGTTTTGTGTACAAGATATTCGGGCGTTATTTTTATGTCGTCTTTCTGATTCATCATCATCATTTCAGCCCGTTTGAGTCCACTGCTGAACATAGGCCTCCCCCCTAGACTGCCACGAAGTACGATCCATCGACATCCCGCACATTTGCACAGGTCGTCACTCCATCTAGTGGGGGGTCGTCCTACACTGCGATGGTCAGTACGAGGCTGCCACTCGAGAACTTTTCTTCCCCAATCGGTTCTACGAGCTATATGGTCGGCCCATCACCACTTCAGCTTGCTAATCCTCTGGGCTATGTCAGTCGTCTTTCTGATTAATCCGATTTAATTATGGCAACCTTTTCGAATTAGTGAACAAGAGTTTCACTTACCATACATCAAAGTCAACACCACACAAAGTCACGTGCTTTGTAAATATGTCTTTTATATTGATCTTGATAGGTATTAATGGATTATGCGCCATTGATTACATCATTATTTATGTAAGTTTTGCTTATCTTTATGCGCTGACTAAATTTATTACGACCGATCAAGTGTGAATTGTAATAAGTTTAAATTGGATCTACATTTAAAGCAAAAATAAGAAGCGGCGACTAACATGATGATGAGTTAATTATAAATATAAATAAATATAAATATTTTAGGACACATTCTTTTTTTTTTACACAACGTTCTCTAGTCCCAAACTAAGCAACGCTTGTACTATGGGTACTAGAAAACTGATAGACATACTTAAAACATACTTTTCTTTTGTAAATAAATACACATTATACATATATAAACACCCAGACACTAGAAAAACACTATGCTCGTCACACAATATTTTTCCATTAGTGGGGATCGAACCCGCATAGCTCAGTCTGCGGGTGCTAGAATAATCTAAGCAGTTTGAGTTCGACTCCTGGTGCTGGCACCAGTCAAATTGTTAGTTCCGATCACGAGCGCTGTCTTATTACGTGCTTGGTTTTGAAGGAGAACACCGTGAGGGAACCGGCATATTTTCTAATTTCGTAACAAAAAAATATTTCGTAAATATGCCAAGTCTGCCAATACGTAATAGTGTCGCGTGGTAGTGGACTACGCTCTAATACCCTCTGAACAGAGAAGGCATTTGCCCAGCAATGGGACGTGTATACGTAAGCTGTTATATAATTATTATTGTCGGCAACAATACTTCTTAAAAAAAAAATGAACTGCCACATACTATATACGGTGTACTCGGAAGTATAACGAGATACATAAAATATTCTCGTCCAAACATCATACCACTAACGCCATTATCGAGCGCGCTCTATCGAGTTTATGCGCTAATTAGTGTGTGCACTCCATTAGACATTGTCTGTCGATACTTGGTATAAGTCTATTTGTGTCACCCGGCACACGAAGACTATGATATAACCATAATATATAGCCCTAATCCTTGTGTCACTAAGTCGTGATCATAATAAATATAGAAATAATAGACAATTTTTAGTGATTGCTTACCAAACATACGTTATTACACGTGCCGAAGTAACGAAACATTTGTGAAATAGATTATATTAACAATGTGAAATAAAGAATAATATTGGCGTAAAAACGAAAAATTAAAAAATAGAGTAACGATACATTTTCTACAATTGCGCTGATGTTCTTATTGGTAAATGAAAGACGATATAAATTTTCAGCCGACTTCTATAAAAGATGGGGGGTTTTATTCGATTGTATTTTATTTTTAGTTTTCTTTCCGTGATTCATAAGCCGATTTAAAAATTTTTTTTTGCATTGGTCTTGAGGTCCCATTTTAATTTCATTAGAATTGAACCTTTGATTTCCGAGACGCCCCCGGGAACTGCTCAAAATCAAATAAAAAAATTGTAGCGATCGCGATATTTGAAGGCGGTTTTGAATTTTGTAATAATATTAGCATTATATAACATAATATTAGCATTTATATCCGTAAGGGGCTATATATGTTTAGGCGTATATTTCGTATACTACGTTTAATTTTTTTTTGCATGTGAGAAGGGTTGCAGATGCGTTGCCCACCTTACAATAAAACGGGCCCCGACAATCTCAATCGCCGAACGGAAAGCATAAGTGTACCAAAAATACCTTTCAATGCTACCAAAATAGTCTGAGCATTATCTGTGGCACTAGCGGCGTGCCGATATTAGAAAAACAAAAACCTAATCGGCCGCCGTACTAGCCTAAGTTGGATGAAAAGGGGCCCCCGATTCCAAACCACCTGCGTTGAACGCAATCCAGTGTACCTCGCGGGAGCAGAGACGCGGACAATGCTCCGAATGCCTTTGTTTCGCCGGGACCCCATTCGCACAATGGCGGGGCGGACCTCTAGTGCGTTCCTTGTGCCCCCCCCAGTCCGTGGTATTTTATATATATTTTTGTGAGCACGGCCGCAGGTCTGGGGGAGGTTTTGTTGTAGCGCGGCCGCAGAGCTACGAATGTAGCGGCCGCTAAAAAACAATGGAAACTGGGCACTTTTAATCAAGTATTTTTCCACATACCGATAGTGGTTGTGGTGGTGGGAGTGGCAGATCCTGATTAACTGCCGCCCTACCGCTTTTAGGTACTTGGAAGGATATGACATTTTAAACTTTTAGTATCATAGGGTTTGTTATTTATAACGGATTTATATAACTAGCTTTTACCCGCGGCTTCGCTCGCGTTGAAGTAATTAATTTTAAATAGTAATTTTTTTGTAATAAAAAGAATCCTATATCTTTTGTACTCAAGTGAAATGAAGTGACTCCGTGGCTTAAAAACTCATCGGACAGATGTGAGTGGGTGTCGTCCGTTGCACTACAATCCTTTTCGCGTAATTCCACTACGCGTAACGTGATTGGTCGTTTCCGGCGGTCGGAATGAGGAGAAGTCGTTGTTCACCAGCTTCTTGGCTAGTTCTCTGTTCACCGATTATGTGTCCCGTGACAGCCGTCGACTTTTTTTAAGAGCAACTCGGTGACGTATCCACAGCAATGTAGACGTGTTTATTTATTAAGCATTTCGTCTGTCGAATGAGGTAACCGGGGCCCATTTAAATGTAGACGACGCGGCATCAACCCCGCAAGTTATGTGTGTATCCATGGATGGTGTTGATCAATCAGCATCGGTGATGCGAGAAAATCCCATATGTAGGGCAGTTCTCGCATGCCGTTAGAATCGAACCCGTCTCTTCAGTTGGCGAATCGACATCCCCAACCGTTGAGCAACCACCCGCCCCACAACAAGATTAATCAATATCGGCGCACGCCATGCACTACGCCAGTGTTTACGCCGCCGCCGCCATCGGGGGCTAATGAAATAATTAAGTTTCCGTCCGATTGCAATTTGCGTTGGGAATTTCGGGTGCCGGTCGACGCCTTGTTACGTGATCGATTAGGCAGGCACCAGATGGGCACGCCGCGCCCGACGGTGCGCAGCGCTAATTTGCAATTTTACGCGGTTCTTCCTCATCTCGTGCCGAATTTAATATAGCGACGATTAGTTTGGGTTGAAGCGAGGCACCTGCTTGTCAAGATATACGGTTAATAACCGAGCCTCGACGATTCTGACTCTTGAGTGTTACGGCACGGCACAACTTGTCACACCTCGATAAGCTAGAGGTTATTTATTCACATTCCAGACGCACGTGTCGATTATTAACACGACTAAGCACTTTCTCAAGTTTTGGACTTGTGGTACGTAGTACTAAGTAGGAAGTGGTTTAACTTTGGACTTTCAACTGTGGTAGGGCCACGCAACAGTCTACGCAAGAATGGGCAGGTCCATCCGGGGAAGTATCGAGAACTCACAGAAGACCGGCATGAGGTGAAAGTTATACTTCTGCGTTTCCGTCTGGTGAGTGAGATAGCCGGGGCCCACTTTATTATGAGGTGGCAATATATCTGCAACCCTACGGGTTTTGCAATTTTAATGGGCAGTAGTTCTTTATATAAGGTGAATGAATCATCAGCTCGCCTTCTCGCATAAATAGATAAAATAAATAAACAACTCACTGTCGATTGTTCCTTACGCTATATCACCCCCTTTGCCGTACATGAAACCGCCAAGTCCGCGCACAACGCTCTGTAACTCTCATCCCTGGACGTGAGGGCTTGTGGGGCGGTGGGATTATAGACGAGCGTCGCCTGAGGGCCGAGCGCGTGGCATATGGTCGGTGGATCCCGCGTCCTAAAAGATTTGGGGTGTGCCGGATCGCATTAGGCGTGCTTAGAGGGGTGGGACGGCCCCTGTCTCCGGGACCCGATCCCGGACTCACGGGATAATCGTTCGGGACGCTACCAGGACTGGAACGAGTTATTCGTGAGAATAATGTGAAGGAACAGCCCATATATGTCCCACTGCTGCAGGCGGCACAGTCCACCACGGGACCCCACTAAACGACAACCCCACATAGCAAACACTAGCCAAAAGATCGGTGCAGAATAATGTGCGAATTATAATAAAATAGTGTGGTGTCACGTAAAAGTAATGCTCCAGAGTGCATTTTTTTCGCAAGTTAAACTCTAATTTTCAGATCACGGCTCGGCACTTGCAACTTTTGCCAAAAATGCGTTGTATATATACCGAACTATAATACGAACTATAATACCGAATTCCACGGCCATCTGGTGGGTTTCAACATATCATTCAGGGAGGTTTAACATTTATATTTTTTAGGAAATAGATAACGAACAATTTGATAACATATATCTTTATGGCTGTTTATCAAATGTATCACTAATTCGTCGTTTTGTCTGCACCCCAAAGATAATCTGACTTCTCGTTGTGTAGTTTATCGATATTTACAATATTTCGTACAACGCTTTTGTGTTTTCATCGTCTTTTTTTGTCACGTGCTAAATTGAATAAAATCCCGTCTAAGAATAGAATGTCTCGTCTACTTTTTTAACAACGTACAGGTAACAAAATATTAAAAATTTAACACAATTATTATGAATTGTGTTGTTTCGAAATGGGTGTTTTAAAACATTTTCATTTAATAGCGCCCAGAAAAAAAACACAAACTTTCTAGTCGTAGTTTCAGTTAGTCGTACCAAAATTTTATGGAGTTGAGATATTGTCTATGCAGACACTGACGCCAGTTTAATTACAACGTGCAGAGCTTGAAGGGCAATTAGTTATTTCATTTTAAATGAACCCGGGGCTGCCACCCGTCACTGTTTCGTCCACTGGGTCGCTCGTTTCACTTAATATTCCAATATCGACGTCCGACGCTTAAAACGGCTCGCCCCCCCATTCGCACTTGCTCTAATATCGATTAATCTTTGTTAGGGCTAAACGAAAACTTGTAAAGATAATGGACGGGTAAAGATATTAAAGGGTAGCGGTATTTTCATTCGGAAATTTATGTTCGCCACGCTCGAAGAGTTCCTTTTTAAGTAAAACTGCCTTAATGAGTATTTGTAATACACAAGTGGCGACGCAAACTCCCCAATAAACGTACATACCTACATTTTAATACAATCGCTTCAATTTATAATGTGATTTGATTTTATTTTCATTTTTCGAAGTTGAGTCGCGACCCGGTTTCGCACAACTCTAGTATATTGCAGTTGGAATCTGGATTTTGTTTTTCGCACATTTTCGCCGGCGTGGAAATTGGCCGTTTGTTTAGCTTGGTAGTTAAAGCGCGCACCTTTTTGTTCCTTTTTTCTATTATACAATTTTTTATGTTTCATCTTAAGTGCAGAGATTAAAACTATACAAAAAATTTAATTTCATATAGAATATGGCTAAGGTATGCCAATGTCTATCGTAAAAGAATACTTAGGGGCATTTCGTTTTTGCAGGCGAATACGTATGGTATTGCTTTATGCCTCTGAGATTCCGTAGTCTCGATGACGATGTTCCGTGCATAAAAATTCAGGTGACATATATTTATCTAAGATTCTCTGAAACGATTCAAAAGCAAATACAACTGATATAGGCTCGACGGCATATAGAACAAAGGCTACGTGCTTAATAGAACGCCATAAAGAATCCCAAGGTGTCGCCACCGACGTCAGAGCGGTGTGCCAAGAGTTTGTACGGGCCCCGCCTGCGTGCCGGATGCAGCCGCCCCGTAAATTGGTATTAATGCGTGCTACGTTTGACCGGCGGTGTCCGGTTCGATGCCGGCGCTTACCCGTGACGGGATATTGCGAAATTGAAGCTCGCCAACTCATTCCGCCTTTGCCGCGCGCTCTCCGACTGTTTGCGAAGCGCCCGCATGGTTGCCGCGTGTACGTAGCTGTGTGGGGTGAGTGCATATTGTACGCGAGGATACAGTGAAAGGTATTATATTATAATGAACGTAGACCCAATTTGCTTAATTGATGGTGAACTCGCGCCAGAGGTTGTGGGTTCAATTCCCACTACGGGAAGAATGTTGTGCGATGAACACAATGTTTTTCTAGTGTCTGGGTGTTTCAATACATATAAAATGTATTTATTTACAAAAGAAGTTGTTGATGCCCATGGGCGGCGGTATTCATTTAACATCAGGTAAACAGCTTGGTCGTTTAACAACTTTTCTTATTTAAAATATATATATATATATATACACACACATATAGGTATCGGTTCATTAAAGGTGCTCAGGTTATGATCAGAGTTTGCTCTTTAAAAATTCCTCTTTGACATTATTAGATTATTTGCAATTATCGATAATGTGGTGGCAAGGTAATTGAAAAGGCTGTAGAGTCACAGATTACTGATAAGCTACTGTGTGCCTGTGCGCCCACCGCTCTCGAACCATCATCGTTTCGCACGTTCATTACCACCTGTGCCGCGTCCTAAATTTGGGCAGCGAACGTGTGTTTGCTTAGGCCCGAGCAACTTGTAGTAATTACCCGCTGCCCTTTTGTTTCTGTTCCTCGCCGCACCGCCCGCAACCCTTTCTCCTTTGAGGTGTGCAGACGAGGCGGCCTTGGACGAATATTGTCCGGGCTCCACCGTAACCTTCCTATCTCCGCGCTACGCGGTCACCTTGCTACGCTGCTACGAATTACTACAAAGTTGTTGTCAAGTTCAGGTGACGTCATAAATTAACGTGCTACCGCCTAAGTCCGAAACAAGCGAGTACTGTTTTGCGATATAAATTAATAATTCGATATGCGTTTTCGGCGTAAAAAATAAAACTGAATTATTGAAAGGCGTAGTAAGGTTTTTCATTTTGTATTACCATAACTGAATCGACTCACAAAATGTCTTCGCTTTACGATTTCGAACGCCACTAACTTGTGTATTCGAACACTCGTATTATGTTACTGCATTCAGTTGTACAAAGGGAGTTCTTTCATCGAATTAACACTAGTCGAGTGGCTTTTGACCTGCGTCCGCATCAAAATTCGTCACCTTTCCGCACCTTTGCAGCATCCCACCGCCGCGGCGGCTGCATTCAGAATGGGCGGAATTATTTACGCGAGTGGCCAATTTGAATCGACAACTTGGTCTTCAGTCGGTGGCGGCACACCCGCTTAGCGAAGAGGGCTGGAATAAATTTGCCTGTCGGCCGGGCTCGAATGGTCGATTTCGCAACGCATTAACTTGTCGAGAGCGGTCGAGACGAGTGCGCGTGGTTGCGGTGTTTCGCATAGATTTTCTTTAGGTACGAAGGTCGATTCGCACGGCCTCTTGCTGGTGTTGTTTAGTGAAATAAAATGTTGTTGGTTATTACTTTACTTTTACTTCTAAATTATCCATAATGGATCGAACAGCATAAGCAGTAATGCGTCAATATTAAGTGTGACAGAAACCTGCACGAATGAGCCTACTCAACCGCAATAGTATAACGGCCTCGTAGGAGACCGGTATAACGAAGGAGTACTACTTTTGCCACTTATCCCGTGATTGAATTAAATAGGTGTTCTTGCCAGCTAACTAACAAATCCCAGTGTTGCTAAATATCTATAGCTGTATGTTATCATGAGCTATAAACTAGTCGTTTGCTATCTTCACGTGAAAGCTAAAACGTTGTTACTAGTCATTTAGTATACAGACACTTGTGCTTTTACCTTGTTCCAAATTAGGTTTAAATCTATTAGATTCGTATCGTTTGCATCTGTGTGTGTAAGTATCTAAGGTATAGGTGGAAATGCTGGCACAAAAGGAAAAAGAAAAAAAATGTTGCGTATTTTTTTTGTGTACTTCCCCGGCCAGCGATTATGCCGAAATGCCACGCTCATTTCGCGTCCCCAAACCAAAAGGAGAAATGTCACGAACTTTTCAATCTAATATTTCCGGCCATTAAAATTTCACCAACCCTCCGCCTGTCGGGTGTCAAACCGTTTCGTTGACCGCCCGAGGGCTTTTTAGCGCTTCATCATTTTAGGGTTGAGTCTATATTTCGTTCGCGCATTGACTGACTCTCCTCGCCCCCGGTGCGCTATCGGTGTTTCATTGCGGCGCGAATTCCTCACCCCCGGTTCTATATTTGGGCCGGTCTCATCTGAAAATTGTTCAGTGTCCCCGTTAATTGGTCCGCGGAATTGATGATTCGGTTTTTTGAGGCACACTCTAACGCCCGACGTGGGTTGCCTGTTACACGTTTTTGGTACAAACAAAGAAACCTTCTCGCGATTGCGTAGGTACTGCAAGTAAATAAAGATGGAAAAACGATCGGGTAAAATGTACACGGGGCAAAAAGGTGCTTGATGCGACATATTTACAAATAATAAAAGCTTATTTTTTATTTTTGGAAAACCAACAGCCAATATAACATAAATAAGAAAACAAGATAATAACAAGCTAATTATAAGGTGTTAATGTTTTACAAAATTTCCCTAGAACTCGTTTGTTATGGCGGTGTGACATTCCCGATTATTAAAATTTTGTACGTTATCCACAATCTAGAAAGTGTATGTTATTTTTATTAACGATACTTGTCTTCAATAAGAGAGTAAAGTTTTTATAATAGCTAGTTTTTGTGATCCTTTTCTAGACTAAACCGAAGGCGCTTAAGGCTTTCTTGCTTGAATGGAATGACGCTTTGATTTAAGTAATAAGGTGTTCAGTGTACGGGCGTTCGCCTTAAATTCACATTAAACATTCAGTGAAATGTTTAATTTTATGTTCTGATTTATCACTTGCTTAGCGGCGAAGGAAAGTTTTGTGAGGAAACTTGCCTATTTTCGAAATATTAACTAAAAAAAATAATTTCGATGATATATGAAGTCCAGTCATATATGAAGTGAAGTCTCTGTACAGACATAGAGACAAAAGATAAAATGTATAGGCTGTTACTTTACTTCATATGAAATATAAATTACATTTTTCCTTTCGTTAAGTGATCAAACATCGTGACTTTAAAGCCGTAAGGGTAACATTAAAAGATTAACTGCGTAGGCTCCTCTGTGTTATTTAATTGAGCGTCGAGAACAGTTGCTCAACTTGTGATGTTCATCCCAACGCGAGTAATCCTCCGCTGAAATATAAAAGCCGGATTACTCGGAACGTGCCACGCTAATGTAACGAACTACTCGAATTAATTTCACCTTTGCGACGCGTATTCTACAAATTAAATGCTCTCCCCAACTAATGTGTATTAAGTGTGCATTAGAAAGTTCACGTTCACCTGTCGCGATGTCTCCGTCTTGCCGTGTGATATTTATATAGTAAATGTAAGTTAGCTTTTATATGCTATCACTTTTAAGGGCACTAAGTTAAACAGACCCCTTAACAGAATGGTGCTGTCAGTGGGTTCTGTAGTTTCTGCGGTGATAACGAGGACACACCGCTTCAAATGATTGTGAAATCGATGCCCTGGTTAATATTAGGATTAGGGAACTGGGGGAGCCCAAATTGGCCACCAAAGAAGCCCGGACTCTTAACCCCTCATTGACTGTCAACTTCATTAGGGTTTGGTTTGGAGGAGGCTATGACTCGAAGGTATGACTACAATAGATCTCTTCCACACATATCATTATCATAATCGTCCCTTTTAAGGAAGTTTTTCCGGACGTCAAAACTATTAACTTATTCCAAGAAATCCCTTGAACGTTAGACCAGGTTTTAATCCGTGTTCTCAAGTGTGTCGATTTGTTGTAGCATGATTACACGATTACATCTTAAGGAAGGTTCGAGAGAAAATTTGACTGGCTTAGGTCCACTTAACAGCAACATTGTGTCGATGCTTTAAAGTGTAGTTTCACTAAAAGTGTAAATGTGTCCACAAAAAATATATATAGTGTGGTAGGGTCACACAACAGTCTGCCCTGTAGCACGAGTGGGCAGGTCCGTCCAGATAAGTACCACGACCTCACAGAAGACGAGGGTGAAGTGGAAGTTAAACTTCTGCCTTCCGTCTGCTGAATGAGGTAGCCGGGGCCCACTTTATTAAAAGGTGGCAACACATCTGCGACCCTTTGGCTGCTACAAATGTCAGTGGGCGGCGCATATCACTTAAAATCAGTTGAACCGCCAGCTCGTTTGCGACCTTCTCACATAAAAAAGTCGTCGGATGCTGGTTGCCATTTTATCGGGATATACCATGGTTTATTAGCGGTATGCGGGCGAAGCAAAAAGTAGGTAGACGAAACCGGTAAGTATGAAAAGGGTTTGTGGAATGTGGAGTTCGTATCCATGCTTACCCATTAAGCGTTAGGCATAAGGGTTTGCTGTATCATCATCGTCATTATTATTTCAGCCTGTTTAAGTCCATTGCTGAACATAGGCATCCTCCATAGACTGCCACGAAGTACGATCCTGAGCCACCTGCATCGATCGACTTCCCGCACATTTGCACAGGTCGTTTGCTGTATGGGTCGCGTTTATTAATCGGCGATTTGTACTTGAAAACTACACGTTACCATCCCTGAACGCCGCGCATAGTTACAAAAATTATCACAGAGTTAAGGTCGGACGGCCGAATTGAACCGTACATAAACAGCCGCCATCTATCTAATCTCTTCGTGTCGTTTGATAACTTATCGCCGATACCCGTGAACTGACCAGCGTTTTACAAGGGCGCTTGGAAAATTAACCACAAATAGATGTATCAAACCGATGGTATAAATATATTCTTATCATTCGATGATGACAAAGGATCTCCAATAGGTCCGAAACTAGTCGATACTTTAGAGTTTAGCCGTTTCATCTCCTGCAAGTTATAATAATTTTATCGTCCGGATTATGATCTATTGCGGAACTATCACATTGTATAATGTCCATGTATAGCAGAAGTAGATGACTTTTCAATACAACTTTTAAATAACAGCTTAAAAGTCTGTATGCAGGTGGTTTAATTTCAAAAGTGAACTAACCAGTGCCATCTAGCGGTGACTAGCGCAGTTTGGTGTTAAATTTCCATCTCGCCATATTTTATAACGATGATCATATAACGGGTGGGACGCCTTCCAACATAGCGGAGCAACGGCGGACCGGCATTAATTAGCGTAGACTTGAGACGGTTTCATGGGATTTTCTCGTTGATGACCGAAGCGCGCATTTTCTTCTATGCGCCCGTGGCGGAATTTAACTAAAGCGGGCACTCTGAGAGATACGAACCGAGCAGCTATTACGCGGAGCGATTTTATTTTTCTCGCTCTCGGCACTGTATCGGAGCTGACTCGTTCTCTAATCTCGCGTTTCAATTGACCCTCTCGGCGTAATGGGAGTTGCTATCGAGAATGGAATTATTTATGGAATAGCAGAGCGAGTTACACGATCCTATCTAGTATTGACCCTTGTGTGTTATAAATTGTTGACCGTAATGTGTCATAAAAGTTAAAGACGCCCACATCAACTTTCGATGAGTGAATTACGCGTTCAGATGTTGCCCATGTACGTAATGTCTGTGACGTTAATCTGAAGACGTAATAGGAATCCTTGATCCTTTCCCAGCGCTAATCCTTGAGAGCCTGATCGCTCTACGGTCCCATTTCTGATTAGCAAGGGCCGCCTGGCAAGTTTACGTAGTAGTTTATGATTGCTTTGACCAAAGAGCCTTAACGATACGCCCAAAGAAGTATTTCAGTGTTTTATGATAGCAACTATCTCACCGTGGGCTGTCTTTAACACTTGTTTATTATTATATGACGTTCTTGTGGCGTTCAAAAGATTCTTTCCTTTTTCCATTATAACTATCAAAACATCACATATACACACTTATTTCAACGGTGCAAACATGCTCAATATTTCGAAGAATACCTTTTTACGTGTGACTTATGACGTATTTTAGCGCGGATTTAAAATCCAATAAGCCCGAACGCCGGGCAACCATGACGGGAACTTTTTTCTCGTCTAATTTCAACCGTTCACGGGACAGAGGCGGCGGTTGCGTTGATGAACGCGTTACGTGTTTCGTGTCGAATAACGAATGCATAACCGCCGAGGGCGTCAAGTGCACACGGATGACGGACAGCGGCCCATATCGGCGGTGCGTTACGTCGAAACAATTTTGTTTACACGCGGCGGCCGGGATGCTTTTGTACTTTTAGAGGATTTTTTTTTTTTTTTTTGGCAACGGACGGTCGCGAGATACAGTCTCGCGTCTGGTGCGGAATAAAACACGGGCTATTCTATTTGCAAGCGATCGCGAATCTTGGTACGCTTTTTTATGTGAAAGTTTGTCAAGAGAGCTAGCCGGCACACTAGACGAAACGCGAAAGGTTAACACCTCCGCCTCACGCCGTTCTTCTGGGTTGCCGTGGCACTTTCGCGAACGCGCCTGCCCATTCGTGCAACAGCAGAAGCTGTTCCGTGGCCCTACAACAGTGGAACCACACCTGGTCGGACCGCGTATGTACTTGCATATTTCAAATAAACTGTATTCGGGACAGGTGCTGACACACCGACGGAAAGAGTACGCTTCTTTACTTACGGTTCATTTGGGCAGGATGCGTATTGAAAATTTTGGATAGTGCGTGTAATGAATCATCGAAGACTACGGTATTAAAATGCGTGCAGTATCAGCTAGCTGTAAAACTTTGGCAAGCGTTGCAACAGCTCGACGCCTCCCGATGGCCGTTCGTTCCGCTTCATGCGGCGCCTTGTCGTAATTGCGGGCGGGTGGGAACAAAGCCCCCGATGATATTCGCGGCGGATTTATTGTGTATCGGCCAGGGATGATTATACACTCGCCTCTGGGGATCATAACGCGGAGATATCACAGGTTTGCAAGGAGCAGTGGGGGTAGGGGGGGGGGGGGGGGGGGGGGGGTGCCTCGTCTCTGATTGAAAGACCCCCCCCCCCCTCCTTTTGTTACATTCATCATTTTTATTCGCGGCGAACGGTGCGAGGCGGGTTCCCATTGTCTGCACGAGGAAGCGATACGATGCTTTGTTTCGCGGGGGAAAAAATACCCCTTGCAAAGCGAAGGTGTTTCAATGCGCCGCCGAAACTCCTATGCACCAGCCGTCAACGCACGAGCTGGCGGTGTTGCGACCTTTAGCCGGCCTTTGTCGTGTCGCTTTCTTCTATACAATTTTTGAGCGTTTGGGGAAAGTTATGAGAGGGAATTCCTACGTAGCGCGACACTTAAACGCGACACCTAAAAGCGACACCTTAAAGCGACACCTTAAAGCGACATTCAAAAGTGACACCAACTTCATTGTATTACCACGGCAACCTATTGCAACTTTCTGATATTTACCTGTATTTTAATGTAACTTCTTTAAACCGTTTTCAGTTGCGTTTAATGTCTCTTTTTTTTTGGTCAGAAACAAACAAGTACGGCCACACACGATATTAAGTTTACATGCGTACATAGTACACATAAACACACGTTTTTTTAAAACAAGCGTTCACGGGGCTCTGTATCGTCTGCGTGATTTGCTCTTCCCCTTTCTTATGCGAGTAACAACTCGTGAACTCGCTGCGTTTGTTCCAGTTTCGCGAGTAGGTATGTTTAGGGCGGATTTTTAAGCGAGTGATGGGACTACAACTCACTTGTGTTGTTCGTTACATTTATTACAAAAAGCTTTAAATGCAATGACACACACGTTGATGATTAAATCAATTACTGTGCTTGTCGTCGGGATATTTTACTTCTTAGTTAACCCTTGTTGGGCATGATCTGTTAGAAACCCGTCTGTTTGCTTATTACTCCAGTGAAAAATTCTTTTGGAATCACCAATTCTTGCTGCGTCTTCCCGTTACCGGGATTCGAAGTTTGCATGTAATATTCGAGTTAAATGTAGAAATGTTCAGTTGCGTCTTTCCGCCGACAGATGGCCGCGAGCGTAGCGTTGCTTCGCATCGATACGCGCAATACGGCGGCGCGTGCATTTCTCTCTTCACTTCTCTTTTTTTTTAAAACATAATTTCACGTGGACAAACACCCAGATGCGAAACAACTATCTGTGGGTCACACAAATAGTTGTCCCGTGTGGGGATCGAACCCACGACCCCCGACGCCGAAGCCAATAGCTTGGCCGCGGAGTCATCTGCCCCATGCATGCATGGCTTATATTATTAAAGTGTTGCGTCATAACCCGGGCGTAACCAGGTCCCGGTGCGGGACGAATCATCAAATCGGCCCCGCGGAATGGCGTGTAAAATATTCAGAGGCACGCTAACCGCTTTTGTTTGGCCGCCCCGTAATGAACGATGGACCCGGGAGTCTGTGTGCCGTGCGGGGGAGGGGGCGGGGGCAAGATGGAGAGGGGAGGGGGAGGGAGCAGGGTGTTAGCTACTTGTTCTTTTTGCAGCGCGAGTTTCGCCGCCTGATAGGACCGCCTGGTAATTAAGCCTCGCGAACGCTGTATCGGTTTGTTTCCGTTCATCATTAGTTCATACCTCTCGGCTCTATTGTTTCCAGTCGATGATAACTATAGAGCTTTACAAATTATTTCAGAGTGTTGTGGCGCTGCTGTATTATTATTACGTCGTCGGTACAAATATGACCTGATGATGGTTGATATTTTCCCTTACAGCCGTGGGTGTATTAAGAAGTTAGGGTACCGTGTGAATTTGAACCTTCTTTTGAATTTATTTCTCTCTGCGTAAAGTAGCCTCGAATTGGCCATCACAGTGTTGAACGACCCCCTACTAGATGGAGTGACGACCTGTGCAAGCGTGCCTGAGGTCGATGGATGCAGGTGACTCGTGTTCACCAGTGGACTCAAACAAGCTGAAATGATGATGATGATGATGATGAAACTTTTATTATAGGTACGTCGTTTGGTAATTACAACGCATTGAACTCAATTTTGCTATATATTTAATTTAGGTTAAGCGTTGTAAAATATGTGAAGCGTGTTGAATGCATTTTGTCTTGTCAGATTAAAATGTAACTTAACAGAAGTTACAGAGACGCCATCAGTACTATATCGATATCGAGCATCCGTGATATGAAGGACTTTACATCAGCCAAATTGGACTCCACTACAATTAGTAAGTTTTGTCCTTCGAGCATCGTTTCCGACAAGTGCTTTCGCGAATACCATCAGTGGGACTTTAAGACGCAAATTGCTCATACGGGAGGACTGCATCATTAATACTAATTAATAACTCTCTCATGCGACCGCGTCCTCTCTAACTTTGTGGACTATTCCCTTACATATAAATTGACGAAATGAGTTTACACTTTCGTACTGCGCTCGTTTGGTTGTGAAGCATTTATGAGCGAGACGATGCGATTGTTCCGGGGGTTTGAGTAAATTTTTATAATACAACCATATTCATGAACACACATCTGTGTGTTTCAGAAATAGTATCTCCTACTTTTATTACACCGTGGCGCAGTTGCCAAGGTTTTGGTTTCTGCGTCGGGGGTCGTGGGTTCGATTCCCACACGGAACAGCTATTTGTGTGACCCACAGAGAGTTTTTTCGCATCTGGGCGTTTGTCCGCGTAAAATTTATGTCAGCAAAACTTCAATAGCAATGTTTTTTTAAACAGTAAAAAATATGTTAGTACAAACTTCACCATTTTAATTACAGATCATCATAATTCATCGTAATCATCTTTTCATCTTTTCAGCCTATTTACACTGATGGCCATCATCAGCCACGAAACCCCTGCATCCATCGTCTTTTTGCATGTTACATAATACCATATTATATTAGACATACTATTTTATCGAACTTAAAAACGACTTGAAGGCGCAGCCATTGCCTTCTCGGTATTATAGTATATTTTTTCATTAAATCGAAATGTAACTTCGCTTCTCCTTTATGCAACACATTTATTTATTTAATTACAAGGGGATTACCTTAATAGGTAAACTCCTAGCAGCGAAGAATTCCGTTACTCCAGAGTTTGTTGTCAACTTTACCCGTGCAATACCATCATAAATTGTTTGCAAATTTCCCCTCAAGGATGCCGGCGTCAATAATGCATATGCGTGTATGTGTGCGCCTCGTTCAATAGACGGCACACATCGATGGCAATCTGGCAGCGCGATGAAAATTAACGATTATAGCCCTTAATGACACTAGGATTGGTTTGCTTTTTTTGACCGTATGCTAACTTGCCGTCTTGTCACGTATAAAAAAATAGTATATGGCTTCGTAGTTGCCTTGAAGAGCTGCCACATTTGACGGTCCCGCCTATCCCTCTCCCGTCGTACGGTAGCGCCATTATCTCATTCAAAGTCTACATTTCTTTATTCAATATACGTTTGTTCTATGCTCTTATTTTACGCCAAAAACTAACACCAATTCTCCAAACTAGACCTAACCAAGAAACTCTGCCTGTCTTTTTATCTTTTTTTTTTTAAATATACCATTGACCGTGGGATATATACCACCCGACATTTTTTTCTTTATGTAACCTCTTACTTGACAATCTGTTTCTTCTAAACAATAATCCAATAAACTGACGGATTTTCATCAGAAAATGTATATTCAGCAAAGACATGCACCCAGTGGTGCAATCCTCATTTCTTGTCTGCGAATCTTGTCGCTAGTCCTGGTATACTGTTTCTCTAAAGAGCGGGAGAATCTAAGACTGCCCAATCCCTGTGTTTTGGCAACCAACTCGTTGATTTGTTGGTCCAATCTGGCTTGATAATCCTTGCCATTCAATTCAAGCCAATCTTGGTCCACATATTTATTGCTTGTGTGTGGTGGAATTCGCCCAACATTGCTAGCGAAACTAATATTGTGCACACTTGACATGCAAAATTATGCAGGACACAGCACCGGTGTACGGGCTGCAACGCGTTTTACGACGCCCCGCTTCGGTCGGAATTGCTGCTTTTTGCAACGTGCTCGATCCAATTGTGGGCTTACGGGTGCTATTTTTGATTTTTATTGGGAAACGCGCTGATTTGGAACCTCTTTAGTGATATCGCTCTGTTCTCTCCGTTTGTATTCAGTTTGTGACCTCGGTCTCCGCTAATCGAACACGCTTTAAACAGCCTCGCTATTGTTTCAACCCAACGATATTATATACAAATACGAGCGCACCGAAACTGAGGCACTCAAACTACGCCAATCAGATTGCAATTCTATAGACTGCTATCTCTTTCCGTCTTATACGTTCTATATAATCTGTCTCATTCACTTATATAAGTCATATAATGTGAAGCGGAACAATTTTTAAACGCCGCGCAGAATGGATGCGTCATCTACATTAATAAACATCATTAGTTAAACCTCTATCGGTCAAAGGGCATTCGAAAGAGGTACGTGATGTAGTTTAACCACCCTTGCTACTTGCCTTTCTATTTGATATTCCTTATCTTTCAAAGTATCATAAGAGTGAGCGTGGAGACACGACGTGTTTCATCTACTCATGCTTGCTTGCTATGTCATTAAACGGTATCGAAGTTTTCGCGTAATTGTCTCTTAAATTCATATAATACTACTACGGATCGTACTTTTTTTCCTGTTAACACGCTTACCGCACGGTTCACAAGATACGTTAATCGCGTGGCTCGTTTCGTTTGGTAGATGAAGATAAAACGATAATGTGTTTCCGAATTGGCGAACTTCCGTAACAATGCGGTCTTCATTACACAACGTCCAGTTTCCCGATATCGGGAATCAATTACCTGACTCCGCCATCGCCGCGCGATGTGCTAACGGAAACGAAGATTGACGTAACAATTAATGTGTCTCCCTCTCGCCCCTCCCCGGTCCAGCCTCCCCACTTCCGCGAAGAAATGAGACGGGGTGGTCGATCCAGCGAACGTAGCGGCAATAAATAAACATGTCGGTGCCATTCCGCGGGATGCGAGTGGCGGTCATGAATCGATGTCGCCACTAGAGCCACGCAAGCACTGGGATTTGCATGCAATCTCTGCTCTCTACACAAATCACTCGCCGGCAACGCCTTTGTGCGTTGGCTGCATACGAGGAGCATTCAGCGAGCGGCCATGTGACAAGGCTTCGCCGCTTTAATATCTCGCTTAGACGACCAGCGAAGCGAAGAGCAGCGCTAGAAATAGCTGGTAGAGCCCCGCAACAGTCTTGGCTGTTGCACGAAAGGGCAGGTCCGCCGGTCAAGTACCGCGAACTCACAGAAGACCGGCGTAAGTAGGTGGCGGATGTCACTAAACAACAGGTGAACTGCCAACTGGCTTGCCACCTTGGCGCATAAAATAAAAGTTAAGCTTGGTTAAGTCGATCTGTCGACTGATCTGCCACGCTCAACCCTGTCTTGTTCGGAGCGTTACTTAACGAGATAATGCTCGACAAGAGTTGCTGCTATTAGACGTTTGATAGTACGTCCTAATCGAGTTAATGGAGATCGATAGCTTACAGGAGTCGGGAACAAACATTAATTTAGTATTTGTATTTGTTTGCTATATATGAACCGATCCGAATGGGAACGTGCGAGACTTGTGTATATAAGTAGGCGCGTAAGATGAATCATTGTTGCTCATTAAATTACGGCAACTGCCTAGAGATCATTGCCGGCGAGACGGTTCAATGCGAGAGCTCGGATTCGAAACGGACGGTACCCTGTATCGATTCACCGTCTTCAGTCGGTATACGATATGGTACTTTTATCGCGGTGTAAATATATTGATTGAGAGTGCCTATGAATTGTCATCAGTAGGGTTCACTTTGTAACATCCTTGCCTACGTTTTTCAAGCGACTTCAAAAAAGTTTTCAATTCGATTTTTTTTTAATGTTTTTTACCTCAGAACTCTGTCATTTACGAATAAATTTTAAAAATGTTATTAATTCAAATTGTATTGGACGTCCGGAGACAAATCATACTCCTCAAAATAAAATAGGAAATATATAATGAATGAGATATGAAGTCGCTTTTATTTTTTGTTACTACATATTACAAAGAGGGAATTTTTACCATGTGTGAAACTAAAGGGAGAGATCAAGCGGGACGTACAAAAACATTATCCCAGATCCCGCGTTATCGCTTTTTTATGCCAAAAAATCCGGGATTGTAATTCGCTAATCTCAAGATTATCGGGATAGTCTCAAACGGACCCCTTTCAAACGGTTACCTACCTAATACATAGTATATTTATCATGACATCAAGGAAATCGTGCAAATGTATTATTGAACGGATCTGTATATTAAAAAATACCGGCCTTGTACGCGATAGTATTTTCATCTTGACCGTGGAAACGACGGAAAGTACCTAAACCCTCGTCAGTACTCCGCGTGCAGAATTAACAAGCGGTCCACGTCTTCGACGGTTTCGCTGCACCGGAATTTATGCTAATGCCGACCGGGCCACATCTGCCGTGCTCTGAAACTGTTCGACGGTCAGTTTGCGCCGCTGCCTTTGCCGCGGACAGTATTATGATGTACTGGCTCGCCCGCCCCGGCTTTGCCCGCCTCGTAATAGTCTACGTTGCTCCAATAATTCGCATAGCATCGGATTTATGTAACGTATACAACCGACTGGGGCGTTTGTTTCGTATTAAACGTAAAAAACAAAACATCTCTCCGAGCTCAAATAATTGTTGGTGTTCTTTTTTTAAGGTGAAATAGTGTGGTAGGTGTCAAGCGAAAGCGGGGGTTCGGTTCACCTGATGTTAAGTGAATAGCGCCGCCCGTGGACATCGACAACTGCCGATGGCTTGCAGTTGCTTTGACAATATTTAAACAAATGTGCCCCGGTTAGTGAGTGAGGACTCACCAGACGAAATGTGATAGTTCAATATTTCAACTTCAAATCGGTCTCCAGTGGAGCCGTGGCTCTACCCTAGAAGACCTTGTCATGATTGAACGTTTGCAATAATTACTTTTTTCTTTGCATTAGTAAAAATTACAGTATTTGAAATGTAAATACGTCCGGGTTACCTAGACTAGAATTTGCGACTAGTATTTGAACAAAGGAAAAAAATCTTGCCGGTTGTTCTCTACACATGTCTAAATAGAAACCGGTGCTAGTTTTTTGACGGTCGATAAGAGCTTAACAACATAGTCGACAAGTCAATATTGAATAGAAAAATTTTCGACTTTGACTTTATTAACCTTTTCCTTTTTAACAATATACAAGGTATTTATGGAACAATGGCATCTCACGGCTCATTGTGGCCGACGAGAGCCGGAAATAGATTGGATCGATGTCCGCTCGGTCTCGTAGGTCTGGTTATAAAGAGTTACTGTGACCGTAGCCTGAAAAATCTGTTATTTTACAAGCGTAAAATAACAGATTTTTAATAAATGTTACTTAACATCTTGGATTGATTACGTTAATTATACTAGAATCGTCGAAAGCTCGAAAAAGAACCTACCAGTTTCCGTGTCGACATTATTCGACATATATATTCGACAACATTAATGCCCTATTTCTGAAACACTGATCATCGTAGAAGTTAATTAATCACCTGTCAAATGGATTTTCAAATGTTACTTGATTTGCCAAAAGGATCGTTAAACTCTACTTTAATTGATCAGTGTTTCAGAAACCGGGCGTAAGTAAATAATGAATTGCGCCGATATTTCGCTAAGCGGGCGCGAAATTAAAAATTGATTTAGATCGCGACCGGGGCAATAATACTCCTTAACGACCCGGCAGAGGTCATTCCGCCATATTAATGACCTCTTACGACCTGTCGTTGTCACTTGTAAGCACCTTCGTATTATTAATGGGGCGGCTTAATAAGCGAGGCGTTCTGCCAATAAAAAATCCCGCCAATCTTTAATTATGATTTAGAGTGTAATTATAAGTATATAGTATAAAAATGTATATACATGTACACAGAAAAGGGACAGGAAAGCGATTGCATTTGTAACCTACTCTTATATTTGTCCTCAAAATCCTGGTTCAACATTTTAAAGTCAAGCGTCGTAACTACAACTTCGTCGTAACTATCACTTAACACTTAAGGTAAATATCCTTGCGAGTAACCGTTAGTTTTATATCTACTTTTATAACATAATTTCCATATTTATTTTACTATTAACTATTTGGTAATTTATGTATTATCCACATGCATATAGGTATAATTTCATGATCATTTCATTAGACAGACGCATATCAGTGTCTATGTGGCTATCTAGTTGTCGGAGCCCAAACGCTCTCAATCGAATCATAGTTAATAGTTAATTATCGCCTAGTTAAGCGCTTCGAACACACCTGCATAGCTAATTTGTGGGTTCAGTCAATTTACGTTCTCTTCAATTGTTCCAAGCTACAATGAAATATTTCTTTATATTCTCTTAGTGCTTCCGTAATATTATTAATAAATTTAGTGTTTTAACACACAATTGGGAGTACTTGTAATTAAAATTAATGGCATTGTTGGATTTTGGTCGATATTTTATCTCGTATAACTCAATCATATTCAAGGCGATTATATTTGTTGGTGTGTTTTTGTAACGTCTTAACGAATCGCTTAACCGCTGATTGGATTAGACTTAAATTTGGGATCGATACAGCTAATGCAATTGGAGTAAGACAAATAAATATTTTCGTCTTTCAACAGATACACAAGTATTTTTGTAAACGCTCACAGGTAAGAAGTTTACAAGCTTCGTTTATAATTATCAATTCCAGAGTACAGTCACACAATAATAGATGGTGACGCTGTGCACCTTAATTTGAATATAAATACCGTATAGCCGTAGACCCAAGACGGATGTCGGAAGTCGTTGCTGGTGGAACCATTCAATATATAAGAATGCCCCTAATCCCCGCCGTCTCAATGGCGAACCCGAGAATGTGTTAAGAGCGGGATTATTGGCGTGATGGCGCGGCTTTGCGGGACTCGTCGAAATTTGTTCGCGTTGCCGTGACGGCTCGGCTGTGTGTGAGCGCATTGTAAGCGGCGTTAATACCCCTCGTGGCCTACATACGGAAGAGGACCCTTCTCGCGTCTTTACACTTCAGATTTCCGTGTGGTTAGCGAAAATTTTGAGCCTATGTAATGTTCGATTCATTCATTTATTTGCCATCGAAGTATGCATTTCGTAAATGGCTGTTTAAATACAGAAGCCCTTTACAGGGTCCTACAATTTACACGTTACTTAATATGTATATATATTTTGAACTAAAAAAACTGACGACCCGAATGGCGTAGTCGGTAGTGTACCTGCCTTCTGCGCCAGAGGGTGTGGGTTCGATCCCCACTACTGGAAAAATATTGTGTGATGAGCATAGTGTTTTTTTAGTGTCTGGGTGTTTATACATGTATAATGTGTATTTATTTACAAAAGAAAAGTATGTTTAAGTATGTCTATCAGTTTTCTAGTACCCATAGTACAAGCATTGCTTAGTTTGGAACTAGAGAACGTTGTGTAAAAAGAATGTGTCCTAAAATATTTATTTATTTATTTATTTAACTAAAAAACTAAATCGTATTCGATGTCTCAATATCGCAAGATATTTTATGCACTAGCAATATACGAGCGGATAAATAGAGACTGAAACGATTTACCTAACGGTCAAATGAAGTGAGCCGGTGAATTCCATCAATCGGGGGTCCCCCGACCTCGAACAATAACATGGAGCCATATACACGGGGACCCGATTTGAAACGTTCGCGCTTCGTCTAGTTCGGCGTGCGGTCGATTAGGTCGAGCGGGATTAACGGTCGATTAGAGTGGTCACCGTCGGGCCCCGGCATAAATCCCGCCCGGGTGCCATTCGGTACACTCGTCGCCATCGCCGCCCCGTCACGGCGTGTTGCTTGCGGGGGGGCTCTTTTTGACGATTTGCACTGTACGGGACGTTGGCGATTGATTGTTTGCCCGATGCTATGCTACCCTGGTACCTGTAGCGAAACGAAAGTGACTATTTTCAGTTTTTTTTTTTTTTTTCATTAAGAGCAGGTGGTGCCAGATTATGAGTGATAACGTTACCGATCGTTTGGCCCGATACTATGCTCCCCTGGTACCTGTAGCGAAACGAAACTATTTCCAGATGTTCTTTTTTTATCACAGGCGGTGCACCTCTTTATGAGTAATTACCGCCGCCCAAAAGTAAACCTTAAGCTATATGTAGTTTATAATGAGTTCATGTCAGATAGACAACGATAAACATTTTTGCGTTTAAGACTCAGCAGCAAAAAAGTGGGTTCAAAACTACCGTAAATGGTCAGTTTTTTAAAGTCTCTAATCTAATGTTCGACTTTTTAAAAATACTATAGTACATAGTAGGTCTTCCCATCATAGTGTTCCAGTATGTGCTTTACTAGCTATATACGAAAATTTTGCACTATATAATTTGCGTAATAAAATTTTCCGCAATATAAACCATTCGGAAATTCCTAACGACTTGTCTGTTGAAGAACTCTTTTACTTAATCAGGCGCGGTTTTACATCATATATAACATAGTTAAAGCCAGACATGAGTACAGACAACATAATTCATATGTAACACACTTGTCTCTTCGTACAAGCCGCAGCGTCTCAATATCGCCAGCTAACGGTTTCATTACAGTTGTACTATGTCATTTGGATGCATATATGTGTGTATATCATTCATGTATAGGCACCGCCGCGTCGCCGACATGTTACATACTATATGATGCAATCTAATCATAACGCGCCCCCTCCACCGCACCCCCCGCGCACTACACACCGCCCCGGGGGTCTGGGTGTCGACTTATTTATGACTTGTTTTAACAACTCTCGCACGAGTTTCATTATGGCGTAAATATTGCATTGGGCGTTTGTCGGGTAGTACTATTTTGATACTCGACTGGTAGGTAATTTTGTATTAATGAACGTGAATGCAATTCAAGTTGCCAGTCTCAGTCAGATGAGATTTCTTGTAACAAAAATGGACGGATGTCGATTGTATTTTACTCCGTTTCATCTTTGATGATAAGTTATTAAATTAATATATGGTACATAATGATAAGTTATTAAATTAATAAACATATATTATATAATCATAATTTTAAATCCATATCGAAGTACCGGCAACATTTTGAAATACGAGCGTATGTTTTTGTGTCTTTGTAGTTTGCCCTTAGCTCGGCGGCTTTGTCAGCTAAATACTTCGCAAAGCGTTTAAACCATGCACCTCCCCCCCCCCCCCCCCCCCCTACCCCCAATCGGCCGCACTCACGTAAGAAACGTTTTTTTTTCGCCCGAGCGCCGCCGACGAGCACTCGACCGTACGCGGGCGCGGCGAGGTCGGCCCGGTGAAATGCAAATCGCAAGTGCCATCCACGACACCCGCCGTATCGCTTCAAACAGGGACCGGATGAGACGGGATGGGATGGGATGGGATGGGATGCGATGCGATGCATTATGCGTTTCGTTAATGACGCAGCCGGGCGGGCGCACGCCCACTCGGCTGTAACGCCACGCGTGTATTGCGTTTGCCGCGGACGTGGTGTGATTTACGATAGGCGGGAGGATCTTGCGGCATGATGCTGGTGGTGACGATGACGCCTCGTCTGTGCGTTGGTTTGTCAATCGGTTGTAACGGTATTTTACAAATCAAGCACGGAAACAGTCCATAAATCTGATCATATATCACGTGTTTGTTGGTTGAAAATGCCCGCGTAATCGGCGCATCTATTTCCTCTGCACAATTAATTTCGAATAAAAAATAACGTTTTGTTTGTATTACAATAATTTGTTGAGGGATGGTTGATGAACCGGAATTCAAGCACACATTGATGAGTCTTCTTTGTGTAGTAATCGACGGTACAACTAACAAGCTCTGAAACTACGTACCAGTGGGGCTGTTAACTCGGGTAGCGTGGTTCTAATTTTTAACTTTACTGCTGAAATATTAACGGGCTCTTTTGAACCGTTGCTAGACCATTAATCGTGGAGCGCTTGACCCGTTGGGCCGTGAGCACTGTCGCTAACTCCCGTTCAGTTTACAAGTTTAAAGCGGCCGCCAACCGCTCGGCCCGATCGGGCGTGAGCCAGGGCATCCACAACGTCCGACTCATTACCTCCACTTGTGACGTAACAAATTGTTTTCCAACCCTGCCGGCGACAGCCCGTCCAGATTTTTATTTACGACCCCCGGCCCACCCACGCCAGACGGCGGCGGCGGCTTTAAAGACCGATACGTTTGCAGACTTTGCTCTGTTTTAGTTTTGCAGTTTCGCTCACGCTGTTTTCTCTAAGATTTTGAAAGGTCATCAAAGACCAATTGCCTCGCGTAAAATATTGAAGTCGAAATCTCAAAGTCCGATAAAGAATCGACAAGTCCTGCACGGTTTTGCACGTAATTTGTCCTTTAGCCCTTTTTTATCTTATTGAAAGGGATTGGGTAGTAAATCCCTGACGATCACTGCGACCAAGTAGGCCTATTTTAGTTTTCGTTTTCCGCTAACGTCCCTTACTGTAAGATAATATTATCCAGTATCAGAAATTATGCAAGTGTGCTTATTAGAAAGAAAATAAATGTATTTACCAAAAAAAAAGGACGCATACAATAAAAAATGTACCTATATTAACATTAGGCTCCTTTGTTACGAGTATGCCTCAATGTGGATTTTCACTTTACGCACTATTTGCGTAATTTCACGTCTCATGCGTTTCGTCCGTCACCTCCCGATATTTCTTTCTCTCATCATCGTCGAAGATTCGGGAGTTCTCTTTGAGCGGCTTAAAATCCCAGACACGTACAAGATTGCGACTGGTTGGCGCTCTTAAGATGTTCGTTATGTCGCCCGCGTCTCTCGAGAGTTTTCTTGTTTTTTTTCTTTTGCGATTATAATTAACTTCCGTTCGGAAATGAAAAGTCCTGTGACTAACGCCGCCTTGAATGACAACCAAACGAGGGACTGCGATATTGTTGTTTTAAGTACTTTATTAACGTTATCAATTTGCTTAATTCGTTTCTTCTTTATTTCAGGTACCCAGCTGCGTGCTGCGAAATTGTCAAGCGACTGGTCTGCTTGTCGAATCCTGGATTGAAGATTGATTGTTTACTGCTTATCATCAAATAGGCCATAATTTTAAAAGTTATCCTAGTAGCTAAACTGTATCTTGTCCACACGTATTAATTATACTTTGAAATAATTGATTGTCGAATCCCAACATTCTTACGATTATTAATTATCATTTTACAATTTTTTTAAGAAGTGTATTTTTTCAATTCAATTTGCAATTCAATCTATGAACAATACAAAAAAAATGCCTCATATCTCATGAGCTGACTATACTCAAGAACGTTTTGAATGAGAAATTGTTATGTATCGTAATGTATAAAGCAGACACAGATACAGGGGAAATATAGGGCAAGCTATGTTCGCTAGGTATGAAAATTTAATACCTTTTCATACCTAGCGGTAGCGGCGCAAAGTTATTAACTTTTCATACGTAGCGAATCATATTGCTATTTAACGCTTTTATTTATCAGGTGCATATCATTGCTAAATATATGTATATAGGTCAACGACGACTCCGATGAGGCATTCGAAGGCGCCCGTTCTTCAAAATCAATATATCAGATATCCCTCGAGACCTTCAACTTCCAGCATCAAGAAAGAAGCCCCAATGTATACAGTGACGCGCCCTTGTCATTCTTCTTGCCCGGTGTGTTGATACTACTGGACGGAGAACTGATAAGGGCCTGTCTTGTATAATATCACCGTTCGAAGATCGAGAGAAGACGCTCCACCGCTCGCTTCCGTGGTCGGTCGACGCTCGAAATTGTATTTTGCAATTCGAGTGCCGATTTATCATACGCTCGGCGACGGTTTTCTTTTTAAATTTTGATTTCTTTAAACCGACGCCGGTGTTGGGATACTTCTTTGCTTTGGGATGGTCACCGGCATTGATCAAGGACGTACTCTTATTTTTCTTTTCAGATCTCGCGTATTTGAGTCCACTGCTGGACATTGCCCTCCCACACAGAGCGCCACGAATCACGATCCTGAGCCACTTGCATCCATCGACTCGCTACACATTTGCACTGGTCGTCACTCCATCTAGTGGCGGGTCGTCCTACACTACGATGGCCAGTGCGAGACTGCCACCCAAGAATTTCTTCCCCATCGCTTAGCGTATCTACGAGCTATATGGAAAACACAAATATTTGTCCCGCGTGAGGACATGTGAACATGGCGCCCGATGGCAGTTTGTGTGGTGACTATCGATACCATTGAGCTACTCTTGCAGTTTTAACAATGCAACAGACACTATTTTTGTGTGTCCGAATTAACATGTCAATAGTGGAAAGATTAATTGTCATTGTCTCATAGATATGTATTATGTAGAAAGTGAACCAATGCTATATTGTTTGTATTCTTTTAACAGGCCAGTGTGGTTATCTTATTGGGTATTTATTATATTTTGTTTATACGCTACAGTGCTTCTCAAACGTGTTAATATTCAAATAAAAGTTTCTCGAGTTAGTATGAGTTTTAAGTTAATTTTGGTTAAGCTTTGCGGAAGATGCGTAGTTTATTAAATGTATCAAATAATGTCTTTGTCGTTTTGTATGATTTGTAAATGTGTTAAATTATGGTATAAAGTAATTGATATATAATACTATAAGAATCTCTCTGTTCTATTTTGTTTCTATTATAATAATGTATAAGGATATGTATGCATGACAAGTATGTGACATGTTTTATTTTAAATAAAAATTGGAAACTAAATGCCTATATTATTTCCTCTTACTATAAAAATTTTCAAACTATGATGAAGGGACATTTTGGGAAATTTCTACACTCTTTTCTAAATAACATCCAGCGTTCAATCGAATTATTAATATTGAACGAAAGTTTATCAATACTCTATTGAATTTCAGTGTGAAAGTGTTTCCAAGTCAAATCTCACACCCATTTAACTTTGAAGTGTAAACCAAAAAGTAACCATGTTTGAGCCCGTTTCTGGGCCTCTGAGAAGAGAGGGAAACGTAGCCTCGCACGATGTTAACTGATTACCGCAGTAAGGTTGACTCGCTTACCTCACTAACCAGACGCTTCGAAGACTACGTACACACTGGTCCGATGTATTACGCTTTTATATAACTTCTATCATTTGAGCAAAAAGTTGCGTCGAGACCACAAAAAACAAACCCACGACTTCGAACCGTCTGACCATAGGAATAAGATCGACTAGATTTTAGATGAAAAATCGTACGGGATGTTGCAAATAAACGATAAACTTACAATTTTCTGTACAGTTAATTATATTAACAATACTGCAAATTTATGACTTCTTAAGTGGATCCCGGTATAGAATGCACAGAAACTGCCATATGCTACCACCATCATAATAATAACATAGCCAGGGTCTTAAATAGGTACGGGTATTTCAATGCTGGGTTAATGCAGTAAGAATACAATAACTTCCGAACCGGTACTAGTATTTTGACAATCAATAATCGGGTGTAATGCTTCTATATTAAATAAAGATATTTGAATAGTTCCGCCACTTAATCCACGTCAATTATTCACAACTAACCTTGCACTCCGAAAATATGGACAAAATCAACATAAATTCAATCTGAATCTTCATTGTGGAAACGATGATTCAAGAGTGGAGTCTACTGTGTAGGCTATGGTCACAGGTATAAAGGCAGGGTTAAAATATATGTAGATCCATAAAATCAATTTGTATAGCATATTATATTGAAAGATGAAATAATATGCAAGTTAAATACTTGATTATTTCCGCCTAGCCCTGATAAAACATGATATTCTGCGTGTATTAAATCTAAATAAGTATATTTTTTTTTAATTTCCAAGATAATGACTTTCTTTACATCCAACAGGGCCGTTCTTGTCAGGTATTTTGTTAATAAAGATCTTTTTAAAAGAACAAAATAGTACACAGTAACTCGGTGGTTCCAGTTCGGAATAAAATTCTATTCATAGGTTGTCCATCAAAAAATCGATTTGATATTGGCAACACAATATATCTTAAATGTAACTAATGTACCAAACAAACGGTACGTGTTTAAACAATATTTTTCGTAGGATAGATATTGTGGCTATAATAAAAATATTTAACATTGCTTAAAATCCAGCAAGCACCAAAGGTCAATTGCAGTCCTTAAAATTAAGTAAAATTCTGATTTCTCATAACTCACAATTTCTATAAAACCATTTTGTGCCGCACTCAACTTAAACTCCTGAACTATTGAAATAGCGGAAGACCCTTAAAAGAATGGTCAGAGTAATTCGATTTACAAATTTCGAAGGAGATTTCAGCGAATAAATAAAACCATAAGTGTCTGATGCTACATTGATATCTCAAAGTGGGGTCCGCATTTCATTATTTTTTAAATAACTGTCCCCAGTCCCTTGAGTTTTTAATAATAACGGCTATGACCCTCTTCATCGCTCGTCAACAAAATGGAACCTTAACGAGTGCGACCTTTGATATTTCATTAAAAACTCGAAATTCTGCAACGCAATACGTCTCCTATGAGCAAATTTTTATGGGAAGAAAATTTGTGGTTTATGGCCGCCCATGGACATTTGCGACATCTAACTGCTTGCTGACCTTGACAACCTCTGAAGAAAAGTTTTTGTAACGAACGCTTAATCGAAGACATGCGCGTGCACTCTATACATGCAAAAAGGCTTTGCATACCCTGTAATCCCATACAAGAATACGCCAAAACACGGAAACCCACAAGTTACAGTAAAGTTACCATTTTTTTTTAAATAATTTCCCTTACTTTAGGATAACATTGTAACATAACAGACACCCAGATGCGAATCAACTATCTGTGGGATACACAAATAGTTGTCCCGTGTGGGAATCGAACCCACGACCCCCAACGACGAAGCCAATACCTTGATAACTGCGCCACGAAGTCACCAAAAGTTGAAGACTAACATCGCAAAGCGAGATCAAGGATGTGTGGAAATGACTCTTGCTCTGCACTTGCAAGACCCCTGGCTACTGCTGATTTTATACCTAAACAAGTTTGTATAATTGCATCACAAAAAAAATAGCAAAAGGAGAACAGGACTGCAGGGTGTCTTGCCGGTTCTTCTCTGTTCAGGTCTAGTTTAGTGAACCGGTGGTAGTTTTTTTGACGTTCAATAAGCTTAAGTTAAGCCTATATTGAATAAAGATAATATTTTGACTTTGAAAGCCATTTCAAAGTATATTTTTGAAATCATTTAAGTGTTATCATCAATCTTTTGAGAATTTGGTAAGTTTCTTATACGAGAACAATCTCCTTGATTGGTGCAGCACAGCTATAAGGGATCCAAAAGCTGAATCGAATAGTTTTACAAGGTAATAAATAGATGGGTGTCAACAAATCTTTAAAATTGACAATTAGGTAAACATGCCAAGTTTTACTTACTTAATATTTAGTTGACCTACGATGGCGTGTAGACATGCGCATACTTCATGCACAGCTCCTAGACTTAAGCTGGTTAGTGATTTCTCCTTTACTAAAAGTAAAGGATTTTTCCTTTACTTTTAATGTGCGAGGTGGCAAATGAGCTGCGGATCACCTGATGGTACGAGACAACCGCCGCCCATGGACATGCAACACCCTTAGGGGTGCATATGCGTTGCCACCTTTAGATGAAATGCGCCCCGGTTACCTCACTCACCAGACGAAACGCAGAAGTATAATACTTTTAATTCACGCAGGTCTCCTGTAAGGCACTTCCCCGAACGGACCTGCCCATTCGTGCATCAGCGAAAACTTTTTCATTGCCCTACCATTACAGACATTATATACATTTATTCCGTCTCCTTATAATAATGATACAAAACGTAAACACTAAAATTACAAAAACGAAAATACAGAGAGAAAAAAAATGTTTACATAAAAATAAGAATAATATTACAAAATAAAATGTGTTGAAACAGTAATTATAATAAGCTTTACCACAGATATAACCTCAGCGACAGTCGAAAAACTGAATTTCAATACGATAATATAGGTAATGCTGCGAATGTTTATTTTGTATGAATCAGATAAAATCGATACACTAAAATCAACTTTAAAATTTATCTTTCCAACATATTTCCATTTATTACTAATTTTCGATTGGAATTACTTTAGAAATCGCTTATAGGTCTGTCGTTTTAACAGAAAACATATTTAACAGGGCAAAGTTAAATAATTTACGGATTATTTCGTGGTCATTTAGATTTGAACGCGGAAGAAATTTAACAATGTGCAGTATTCACGTAAACACTAGAAATCATTTTTAGCGCACCTGTGTAAATAAAGTAGAAGTAAAGTAACAGTACATAATATGTTCTACTATTGGATAAAGGCCTCCCCTGTACAGAAGGTATTACGGCATAGTCCACCTCGCGACCACACTGCAATAAATATGCAGGTTTCCTCACGAAGTTTTCCTTCACCACAGAGCACTTTATAAGTAAACACTTAAAATTATCAATTTAATTTATTTTTTTATTTGAAAGCTGGTGCTTCCCATGAGGTCCCATAGTAAGTATCTCCGGAGCCCAAGATCCAATACCTGCATTGGTATTGGATCTTGGGCTCCGGAGATACTTAGATAACTCCTGAAAATCATATATAATAAAATGAATACAGTGCGAGATATTTGAAGTCGGTTTTGTTTTTCGTTAATAAAAATAAGGACTTGTTTCAAATCAATCTCATCTCAAACCTATGGAGTCGAAGAAAGGAGCGAGAAACAAAGCCCTTTCAGAGCTACGCTGTTCGCTTCGCTCGCGGAATCCTAGAGGAGATAACATTGTGCCTTTCGGGAGCCTTGTTCCTACGCCTTCTATATCTTTACAACGCGTCTTTACGACGGACGCAGGTAGAAACGTCCTCCGTCTCTAGAAACGGTGCTTTATGTCCTCAAAAGACTTGCAGGAGGTGAAATGGGGTCGATGAAACGTCAGCGGGTGGTTTGATGGTGGTAAAAACCGACGTATGAAATGGCCAATTCCATTACCATTGGGTTGCATTATTATGTGTCGATTTGTCATGTGGGGAATATCGCGAGAGAGAATAAAAATGTTTTACTTATAACATTAAGAAAGAGGCTATGTCGTAGTATAATAATTTTAACAAAAAAAATCAAAATCATTTATTCATCGAAATAAGAAATATAAATTTCATTTATCGATAGTCATTTTTTAAATGTGTGGTACATTTCGTTTACGTTTCGTAATGAGGTTCTTCTAACGGAGAAGAAACAGGCGAAAGAAACTCCGTAGGTATCCTCTTTTTTGTCAATTTTTTTTTCTCAAAGAAATTTTTTTTTTTAGATACAGCTTACGAATGAGCATCTCATTCCCATGGGTTATTATCGTTAATGTATTCATTTATATTATAGTAACCCTTTTTAAAAAGTTTTTCTTTAATAAATTTCTTAAACTTGTTAATAGATAGGCTTTGCACTGGGATTTTGTTGTAGAAGCGTAATATACCGTCCCATGAACGAGTTACTGACTCTATGGAGTCTAGTAACTGGCGTTATAAGCTTGTGTTTGTTCCTAGTGTTTACATTATATACATCAGTATTCTTATTAAAATTATTAATGTTTCTATGTACATACATTACATTTTTATATATGTATGGAGAGGTCCAGGTTAAAATATTTATTTCTTTAAATTTCTCTCTCAGAAATGCATTCAAATTAAGATTGTAAATTTCTCTTATGGCCCTCTTTTGCAAAATAAATATTGTTTCAACATCGGCTGCATGCCCCCATAGCAAAATACGGTATGACATTATGCTATGGAAATAACTAAAATAAACGATTCTAGCTGTATTTACATCAGTCAGACATCTTATTTTCCTTACAGCATATGTTGCAGAACATAGTCTGCTAACAAGTTTAGATATATGGGGGTCCCATTGAAGCTTTGAATCAACACTTATTCCTAGAAAAACAGTGGTATTTACCTCGTGAAGTGTTACAATACGTTGCTTAATTTTAAAGAAATGAAGTATCATCGGCAAACAACACTATGTCATGTTTTTTTCCTACTAAGTAGGGTAAATCATTAATATAAACGAGAAAAAGGAATGGGCCGAGAATCGAGCCTTGCAGAACGCCCATTGATATCATCGACCCAAAAGAACTAGCACCATTAATTACAACTTTCTGAATTCTTTTATTTAAATATGATTTAGTCAAGTCAAGCGGCGGTATTTTTAATGCCATAATGGCGTAATTTCCTGATAAGTGTTTCATGATTGACGCAACCAAAAGCCTTGGAAAGATCACAAAAAATACCCAGAGCATGCTGTGAACCTTCCCAAGCCTCAAATATATATTTCTAATTAGTAGCTTAATCAGTTCTAAACCAGCTTCTGTTGTAGAACGACCCCTGGTAAAACCAAACTGATTATTGTGTAATAATTTGTTTAAATTAAAATGTCTCAACAGCTGACCAAGAATAAGTCGGTAGAACAGAAATAGGTCTAAAGTTAGTGGGGTCAGAAGAACTACCAGATTTAATAAAGGTATGACTTAACAATAAAGATAAAGAATATCTGAGAGCTATTTGACCGACTAATTAGATTCCAAAATTATCCAAAGTCCTGTTCCACGGGAATTGAATCGGCAATAATGGAGTTTTTAACATAAGTAAAATATCTAAAAAGAAAACTCATAAGTTTTCTTTTCATGACCGTATTGTGAGAAAAGTCTGCTATACATTCAGGACAACACACATCATATGAGCTGATGCACTTTTGAATTCTGGCAATCCGATTACCTTAGTCACTGTGAACTTCAGAGGTATAGAAATATCTTGTGTTTTTACTTCGTTGGAAAATACAGTGAAATACATTTTAACTGTGGTAGAACCACGCAAAAGTCTTTGCTGTTGCACGAATGGGCAGGTCTGTCCGGGTAAGTACCACGACCTTACAGGAAACCGGCGCGAAGTGGGAGTTTTATACTTCTGTGTTTCGTCTGGCGAGATTAAATGATTTATTAAAAGGTGTCAACGTATCTGCAACGCTTTTTTGGTATCGGGGGGGAAATCTTCAAAAGATACCCTGTCACGTTACATGACAGGGTTATGTGAGGTTCTTACCCACTAAAACCCCCTCGGTGGCCACCCTCTGTACGTTTGGAGGGACTCCGGGATCTCCCACGGAACGCACCGGTATCCCTCAGTACTGCGCATGAGCACTCCCCGGAGAATTTCCCCGGTTCACTCACCATCTTGCAGCAGCTCGAGACCACTTCGAGCTGCTGCCAATCCGTGTCCCCTTTTAGTCGCCTTTTACGACAGGCAGGGAATACATTAGCCCTATTCCATAAGCCCGCGACTACAGGGCTGACGGGGCTGCTCGACCGTTTCTGCCGGCCTGGCGCCTTCGTCTTCGAGCGGGATCAGCCCTCTCCCATTCTGGTTCAGCGATCTCCTTTTGGAGCATAACAGCTTCGCAGAAGGAGACCAGTGCCGTCCAAGTAGATTTCTCCACCAGTGCAGCCCTGCGACTTGTGAAGATAGGTCCTGCCCGATCTTTTGGACCAGGATCCGACGCTATGAATCCCAAGCGGGGCACTCTGCAAGAGTGTGTCTGCAAGATCCTGGCCCCCACCACAATGGTGGCATTGCGTTGTCGGTTCGCGTCCGATTCTATTTAAGTACTCACCAAAGCATCCGTGCCCGGTGAGTACCTGTGTCAGCCGAAAAGTGACGTGCGCAAATCCCCTCGCGCTAAGCCAGGCTTCGAAGCTCGGCAAGAACGTGGTAACGATTCGCTGGCGCGAGCTTTCAACGCCCTTATACGCTCCTTCTCACGCACTGCATCCAGGGGCTCGGCATCATCCTGGGGTAGTCGGAGCCCAGTATAAACTCGCGCATCCATCGCCGCCAGGATGTCCAATGGTAGAAACCGAGCGAGGATAGTGGCCGCCTCAAAGGATATCGTTCGGTACCCTCGTGCGATCCTGATAGCTATTTTTCGCTGCAGGCTATAAAATTTAGCTCTGCAGCGTCGGACGCCCGTAACTCGGTGTGACCATACGGGCGCCCCGTAGAGGGCCATCGATCGCACGATCCCCGCATAGAGGCGGCGAACTCTTTCCCTGGGGCTCCCGAAAATAGGCAGCAATTTGTGCATAGCACCTACTACCTTTTCAACTCCGGGAGCCAAGCGACTGAAGTGTTCTTCCAAGCCCCAGCGACTATCTTATATAAAAAACATCTAAAAATATTTTTTTTTTCATAATCTAAATGTTGGGAAATTCTAAAATTATTGTTTTAATTATGTTTTTCTATCGATTAAAAATATTAATTGTATAGTACGAAAAACGAGTGTCTTTTGAGTAAAGGATATGAAGTATAATTTTAACAACACAAATTAAGTATATCATTGGCGGCCATATTTGATGGTCTAATGGCGCAAACTTGACACATTAATTGGCAAATATCCGGAATATAAAGATCAAAAAATATGCTTTATTAAATCTACATAATTTTTTTCCATAATTACGGATAGTTTGCCGTTTAATACTAGTTTAAAATAATTATGGTATCCGTATATTAGCCTGTTTTTAACAACATGAAACATTTGCGTAAACACGAGAAATCATTACATGAAAAATATAGTAACACAAACAATAAGTATGGTTTGAATAGTATATTAATTAGTACTTAGTTCTTAATGGATTCATCTGTCGGTATTACCGCTGTTAATTCAGCCGCGATTTCGTTAATGCAGACAATAGACATATACCCTGTTACACGAGGCCTAATGGATTATTTACAAAAACAAAAAAAAGCAACCCGCTGACGTGTGCCGGAGTTGATACGCCTACCCGATTATGAATGTATCAAGCCGAGCATAAGGAACCAACCCCTAACAATATAAAAAAAGAAAAGAGCGTAAAGGGAAATCGTTGTGGCGTATTCCGCGTAATAAAAGGCGGCATATTTCGTCTGGTAACATTTAAATGTTATAATTGACGGGAATGTTTGTCGAGATGGAGGCAAAACTTAGGGGTGTGTCGGGTTGTGAAGAACCAAAAAGCCTTTGTCCACCGCTCCACGGTACAGGGGTGAGATTTTGTTGTAATCGTGACCGTAATGTGATAAGGTTGGTTTTCTATCGAATTTTTAGTGGATCTAAATGAAGATGTTTAAGGGAGTGGAAAAAAACTATGGATTAGTTTTCACAGGGGCACTTTGGGAAAATTTGGCCTATAAAACTAAACCGATTCTGTGGAGCACACTGTTTTAACTTCCTATACATTAATAAGGCTCTGTGGATATATGACGTCAATTACGACAACCATAAATGTATTTTGACTGCGGTAGGACTATGCAACGCTATGAATGGGTAGGTACGTCCGGGTACGTACCACGACCTCACAGAAGACTGGCGTGAAGTGGAAGTGTTATTCTTCCGCGTGTCTTCTGGTGAGTGAGGTAGCCGGGGCACACTTTATTAAAAGGTGGTAACGCATCTGCCACCCTAGGGTGTTGCAAATGTCAACGGGTGGCGTTTATCACGTAACAGCAGCTGCACCGCCAGCTCGTTTGCCACATTCTCACATAAAAAAAAATAAAAAGGGAAGAATGAGGAGAAAAATGAGTTTTCACAGGAGCTTGAGCCTTGAAAATGCGGGCTATAAAACTAAACTGATGCTACGTAGCGCAGTATACTTATAATTTCTTTACAGGCCATTAATAAGGCTTGAAGGACAAACGAGTACATGACATCAATTTAGACAAACATAAACGTATAAGTTGTTTCTTCAACAGCCTTCGGTTGGTT